AATGTGCTGACATCACCACTACACACAATGTGTGTAGGACTCTATTGTCTATGTGTATGGCTCTATTGTACATGATTAGGCTTGTATTGGATGGATGCAGCTTTATCCCAGACTAAAAGCTGAGCATGTTTAGAGGCAATTTGTGTTGTATAGAATGAACACAGTTGCCATAATTGCCATATGGTTATTATTGGCTCCAAGGTCATGTAGCCTCATCATCATCATTCGGCTGCATAGCAATCAACCACAAGCTTCCCCCAGTTGCTACGGTGGTTGAAAGCCACTTGTCTTCATCCATCCCCCATCAGGCCTTGAATGTATGTGAGATATGTTCACTGGTGCCATGGTCTTATTTTGCCATGTGATGGATTGTAAAGGGTATATCACTTTGCAGGCTCTTTGCTCTTCATTTAGAAAAAACATAGGTGCCAAGCAGTAAATAACACACCTGATTCAACTGAAGTCTTGATTGAAGAATATGGTATGATATGTTGAAACAGGTGTGCTGCTGCTTGGGCTGGAGCAAAATCCTATAATATAGGACACCACTCCTTTATAAGGTCAGGGCCACGGCTTTAGATTCTAGACACATAAGTCTGTTTTGGTTGACTTTGTAGGTCAGCTCAACAGCACAGAACAGTCTTGGAACCACAGGGCTAAAACATGGGCCTACCACATGGATGGGCATTCATAAAATTCCATTGCTGGCCTACATGGTAGGCTACACCCCAGTAAGCAAGGACCGACGTCTACGTCTTTTTTTGGTCCTGTCCGACCAACGATAGACCTACCATATAGATGGGCATTCCTAAAATTAAATTTCAGGTGACACTGTAGGCTATACTTCAGTAAGCACGGACCGACGCTGACGCCTTTTGGATATATTATTTTGGTCCTGTCCAGACAGGACGTCTTTCTTTGGTGCAGATGTCTATGTTTAGTTCAGATTTTGTCCAGTCAAGACCAGCCTTGATTTGGCCCAAACATAGATGTCTATAAATAATGTTTTTTCAACTTTAATTCAGAACCAAAAATTAACCTGATTTCAACGTCCGGAAAATACGTATTTTCAACATCTGGAAAATACTTATTTTCACCTTTCATTCAGAACCTAAACATATTTTCAATGTAATTTTGCTTACTGGGACTAATGTAGTAGGGGTGGCAATTTTTTTGTCTGGCTTAGGATGTTAGTAGAATGGCCAGGACCGGCCCTGGTCACAACCCTGCAAAGTGACATCCAGATGTGGCCCTGGTCACAACCCTGCAAAGTGACATCCAGATGTGGCCCTGGTCACAACAAAGTGACATCCAGATGTGGCCCTGGTCACAACAAAGTGACATCCAGATGTGGCCCTGGTCACAACAAAGTGACATCCAGATTTGTCCCTGGTCACAACAAAGTGACATCTAGATGTGGCCCTGGTCACAACAAAGTGACATCCAGATGTGGCCCTGGTCACAACAAAGTGACATCCAGATGTGGCCCTGGTCACAACAAAGTGACATCCAGATGTGGCCCTGGTCACAACAAAGTGACATCCAGATGTGGCCCTGGTCACAACAAAGTGACATCCAGATGTGGCGGAGTTGAGCTATATTGTGCTGCTGTCATAATTTTTTATATCCTGATCAGAGGAAACAGACATGGCAGATCTTTGTCTGATTTTCTCCATCCACAATTCATACTTCCTGTCATAGGATGAAACTTGATCACTGTGCTGACATCACCACTACACACAATGTGTGTAGGACTCTATTGTCTATGTGTATGGCTCTATTGTACATGATTAGGCTTGTATTGGATGGATGCAGCTTTATCCCAGACTAAAAGCTGAGCATGTTTAGAGGCAATTTGTGTTGTATAGAATGAACACAGTTGCCATAATTGCCATATGGTTATTATTGGCTCCAAGGTCATGTAGCCTCATCATCATCATTCGGCTGCATAGCAATCAACCACAAGCTTCCCCCAGTTGCTACGGTGGTTGAAAGCCACTTGTCTTCATCCATCCCCCATCAGGCCTTGAATGTATGTGAGATATGTTCACTGGTGCCATGGTCTTATTTTGCCATGTGATGGATTGTAAAGGGTATATCACTTTGCAGGCTCTTTGCTCTTCATTTAGAAAAAACATAGGTGCCAAGCAGTAAATAACACACCTGATTCAACTGAAGTCTTGATTGAAGAATATGGTATGATATGTTGAAACAGGTGTGCTGCTGCTTGGGCTGGAGCAAAATCCTATAATATAGGACACCACTCCTTTATAAGGTCAGGGCCTCGGCTTTAGATTCTAGACACATAAGTCTGTTTTGGTTGACTTTGTAGGTCAGCTCAACAGCACATAACAGTCTTGGAACCACAGGGCTAAAACATGGGCCTACCACATGGATGGGCATTCATAAAATTCCATTGCTGGCCTACATGGTAGGCTACACCCCAGTAAGCAAGGACCGACGTCTACGTCTTTTTTTGGTCCTGTCCGACCAACGATAGACCTACCATATAGATGGGCATTCCTAAAATTAAATTTCAGGTGACACTGTAGGCTATACTTCAGTAAGCACGGACCGACGCTGACGCCTTTTGGATATATTATTTTGGTCCTGTCCAGACAGGACGTCTTTCTTTGGTGCAGATGTCTATGTTTAGTTCAGATTTTGTCCAGTCAAGACCAGCCTTGATTTGGCCCAAACATAGATGTCTATAAATAATGTTTTTTCAACTTTAATTCAGAACCAAAAATTAACCTGATTTCAACGTCCGGAAAATACGTATTTTCAACATCTGGAAAATACTTATTTTCACCTTTCATTCAGAACCTAAACATATTTTCAATGTAATTTTGCTTACTGGGACTAATGTAGTAGGGGTGGCAATTTTTTTGTCTGGCCTAGGATGTTAGTAGAATGGCCAGGACCGGCCCTGGTCACAACCCTGCAAAGTGACATCCAGATGTGGCCCTGGTCACAACCCTGCAAAGTGACATCCAGATTTGTCCCTGGTCACAACAAAGTGACATCCAGATGTGGCCCTGGTCACAACAAAGTGACATCCAGATGTGGCCCTGGTCACAACAAAGTGACATCCAGATGTGGCCCTGGTCACAACAAAGTGACATCCAGATGTGGCCCTGGTCACAACAAAGTGACATCCAGATGTGGCGGAGTTGAGCTATATTGTGCTGCTGTCATAATTGTTTATATCCTGATCAGAGGAAACAGACATGGCAGATCTTTGTCTGATTTTCTCCATCCACAATTCACACTTCCTGTCATAGGATGAAACTTGATCACTGTGCTGACATCACCACTACACACAATGTGTGTAGGACTCTATTGTCTATGTGTATGGCTCTATTGTACATGATTAGGCTTGTATTGGATGGATGCAGCTTTATCCCAGACTAAAAGCTGAGCATGTTTAGAGGCAATTTGTGTTGTATAGAATGAACACAGTTGCCATAATTGCCATATGGTTATTATTGGCTCCAAGGTCATGTAGCCTCATCATCATCATTCGGCTGCATAGCAATCAACCACAAGCTTCCCCCAGTTGCTACGGTGGTTGAAAGCCACTTGTCTTCATCCATCCCCCATCAGGCCTTGAATGTATGTGAGATATGTTCACTGGTGCCATGGTCTTATTTTGCCATGTGATGGATTGTAAAGGGTATATCACTTTGCAGGCTCTTTGCTCTTCATTTAGAAAAAACATAGGTGCCAAGCAGTAAATAACACACCTGATTCAACTGAAGTCTTGATTGAAGAATATGGTATGATATGTTGAAACAGGTGTGCTGCTGCTTGGGCTGGAGCAAAATCCTATAATATAGGACACCACTCCTTTATAAGGTCAGGGCCACGGCTTTAGATTCCAGACACATAAGTCTGTTTTGGTTGACTTTGTAGGTCAGCTCAACAGCACAGAACAGTCTTGGAACCACAGGGCTAAAACATTCAGCCATGCAGGAACCAAACTGGCAAATCACAAACATCCTGATGAAAGTTTTAGATGTTGTAGGGGATATTTGGGTTCCTCTTTCTGACATGTAGCAGACAGTAGTACAAGGTCATGGGTCATTTCCTGCTCATATACATAGTTGGGACTTGACAGCAGTGTTTGGTCTTCATGGTGGTTCAAGTTCTTAGATGGTTCATGAGATTGGTACAGAGATTGGTACATAATACAGCCACTGTGTGAGATGATGAAACACTGTCCACTGGTGAGAACTTTTTCACCTAGTGTAAAATGTTGTAGTACAGTATAAAATGGTATCTGTTTTATAGGTAAATTCATATGCCCAATATACAAGTCTATCGTAATGTATAACATCAGCTTAGCAACACACTGAAAATAAAGCAGTCTGAACTTCAAGCTCTGTCTCAGATGTGTACGCGCTTCCCGCGTCTCACTCATTATGAAAGGGCGGGGGTGGAGAGAGGAGGCGAGAAAAAGAATTGTTTCCAATCGTCGCATTCATCAACATTAGCAGGAATTGTAGCTGTAACGGTAATGATGTGTCCTTAGGATAATAACGACTGATGTAGAATCCACAAGCAAAATTGTCTACAGATGCAACCCGGCACAGATGCGGTAAGATACGATACACGATCACTCATTTTGCATCTGCCTGTCAACTTTTTTTCGTAGTCTTTTTTTCCTCACATATATATCTCATGGCAAGCCACTGGGCACAGACGTAAGTTCAACGTTTAGTTACTTGAGTTGTCAACTAACGTGAATTGAACGAGAAATCAACCAAAACAAATCTGTAAATGATTTAGGTCAAAGTTTGGGTGGAAAAAACACGAAATTCCCTTACATTGTTGCAAATCTTGAAATGACGTGGAAACAATGTTGATTCGTTCAGTTGTTGCCCAGTGGGAACATTTTTTATTGTTTATGTCTGTTTGGGGTTGGACATTGGAAAAGAAGGGCCAGAGAGAGAGAGAGAGAGAGAGAGAGACAAAGACAGAGAGAGAATAGTCCAGACGTGAGATGTGACGCGCTGCCGGAGCAGCCAGACACGACGATCCAGTGTTGTTGATGAAGAATAAAAATGTTCTACCATCGAGGGAAAGTCTGCGCTATTCATGCGCCTTATCCGTTATAACGGTAAGCATTTACGCATAAGGACACATTTGTATCTCTGAATGTTTCTTGTTTTCCAAAAGATTCACTTAATCGCTGCGTGATATTGCATTGTTTTGATGGTCATGCAAGAAGAAAATGTATGAGCTGACACCATTATTATACTTTTTTAAATGAGAAACTGGATGATAATGCGCAATTTGAGCGCATAACACAATGATTACTTGGATTCACTATATAGAATATTTTCTAATACATTGGAAAGTCGACGATACATATCCTCCGTTGATAAATACATTATAGGCTATGATCATCGTGATGGTATCATGTCATTGTCCCTTGGTGACTTGACGTCACTGTGAATGTGCAGTGTGCATAACTTCACTTTTGTGCGAAGACAGTTATTGATATCCAAGTGCGTTTATGGCAAGTTTTGCGACAAGAGTAAACTTTCTTCAGAATGATTCTCTCCTTTATATTACACACACCAATATATATATTCATTCAGATACTCTTAGGAAAGAAAGTGGATGAAGTGTTTCCAAATCACGGTCTCATATCTAGTTTCTCTACCAACAGTGACCCACACCAACATCTGCTCATCCGAGTGCGCAGACACACACAAACAGACACATACCACAAACCTGCAGTGTGTGTGTGTGTATGTGAGTATGTGTGTGTGCACACCCAAGTGGATTTTATACACTGCCTGAGAGGTAATGCATAACATTGACATTAATAGTGAACCACTTCCTTATTTGGGTAGGATGGCTGAGTGCCTCCCCTGTGATCTCTGTTCTCTCAGCCAATGAGCTGACCACGTGCCGCTTGACCAATAGAGCTTAGGCATATAAACAGTGTCTTTAGCCAAGGGCTTGCCTAGGGCAGTATGTATGTGTGTGTGTGTAGGTTGTTGTACTTGAACCAAGGCCTGACAATACCGCTAGAGGCATTCGTGCTGTCCAGTCTTACAGAGGACTAGCCCATAGATAGACAACAGTCAGAGATCTATGATCATCTTACCTCCCCCAATCCTTACTAACCTTCCATTAGATACTAACTGACCTTTCATCAGTGTCTATGGGCATCTTTATCCCTTCAGAGTCTACATTCTGCCAGCTGCACAGCAGCCAGACTGCATCACTTCCTGCTTTACCAGGGCTTGTTGCCTGACCCACCCACAGAGACGGCCTGGGTTACATACTGTTACTGTGTGTGTTATAGCTACTGTATGTGCTTTTCTTTTTTTGTGATGAACATAAAAATAATAATAATGTGTCTCCCTCCAGGGTGTACAGTCGTGGTCAAAAGTTTTGAGAATGACACAAGTATTGGTCTTCACAAAGTTTGCTGCTTCAGGGTTTTTAGATATTTTTGTCAGATGTTACTATGGTATACTGAAGTATAATTACAAGCATTCCATAAGTGTCAAAGGCTTTTATTGACAATTACATTAAGTTTATGCAGAGTCAATATTTGCAGTGTTGACCCTTCTTTTTCAAGACCTCTGCAATCCGCCCTGGCATGCTGACAATTAAATTCTGGGCCACATCCTGACTGATGGCAGCCGATTCTTGCATAATCAATGCTTGGAGATTGTCAGAATTTGTGGGTTTTTGTTTGTCCACCCGCCTCTTGAGGATCGACCACAAGTTCTCAATGGGATTATGGTCTGGGGTGTTTCCTGGCCATGGACCCAACATTTCGATGTTTTGTTCCCCGAGCCACTTAGTAATCACTTTTGCCTTATGGCAAGGTGCTCCATCATGCTGGAAAAGGCATTGTTCGTCACCAAACTTTTCTTGGATGGTTGGGAGAAGTTGCTCTCGGAGGATGTGTTGGTACCATTCTTTATTCATGGCTGTGTTCTTAGGCAAAATTGTGAGTGAGCCCACTCCCTTGGCTGAGAAGCAACCCCACACATGAATGGTCTCAGGATGCTTTACTGTTGGCATGACACAGGACTGATGGTAGCGCTCACCTTGTCTTCTCCGGACAAGCTTTTTTCCAGATGCCCCAAACAATCGGAAAGGCGATTCATCAGAGAAAATGACTTTACCCCAGTCCTCAGCAGTCCAATCCCTGTACGTTTTGCAGAATATCAGTCTGTCCCTGATGTCTGTCTCACTGCCCTTCTTGACACCAGGCCATCCTCCAAAAATAGTGATCTCCAGCCTTGTCCTCGTCAACACTCTCACCTGTGTTAACGAGAGAATCACTGACATGATGTCAGCTGGTCCTTTTGTGGCAGGGCTGAAATGCAGTGGAAATGTTTTTTGGGGATTAAGTTCATTTTCATGGCAAAGAGGGACTTTGCAATTAATTGCAATTAATCTGATCACTCTTCATAACATTCTGGAGAATATGCAAATTGCCATCATAAAAACTGAGGCAGCAGACTCTGTAACCTCCCGAGTGGTGCAGTGGTCTAAGGCACTGCATCGCAGTGCTAGCTGTGCCACTAGAGATCCTGGTTCGAATCCAGGCTCTGTCGTAGCCGGCCGCGACCGGGAGACCCATGGGGCGGCGCACAATTAGGGTAGGGGAGGGAATGGCCGGCAGGGATGTAGAGCATGGCGTTTGCAATGCCAGGGTTGTGGGTTCGATTCCCACGGGGGGCCAGTATGACATTTTTTTTAAAAAATAATAATGTATGCACTCACTAACTGTAAGTTGCTCTGGATAAGAGCGTCTGCTAAATGATGTGAAAATTAATATTTGTGTCATTCTCAAAACTTTTGACCACGACTGTATATGTGTGTCTGTTTAACTGTCAGAGGTGAAGGATCAGAGGTCACAGCAGGTCGGGGGCTAGATGTCAGAGGTCATGTCTACCGTGGCATTCCAGGACCTTCCTCTCAATATCTACATGGTCATCTTCGGGACCGGAGTCTTCGTCTTCGTCCTGAGCCTCATCTTCTGCTGCTACTTCATCAGGTAAACATATCTATCTGTCAGTCTGTCAGTCTATCTATCTATCTATACTGAAAAAATATATAAACGCAACATGCAACAATTTCAAAGATTTTACTGAGTTACAGTTCATATAAGGAAATCAGTCAATTGAAATAAATTCATTAGGCCCTAAGTTATGGATTTCACATGACTGGGAATACAGATATGCATCTGTTGGTCACAGATAACTTTAAAAAAGGTAGGGGCGTGGATCAGAAAACCAGTCAGTATCTGGTGTGACCACCATTTGCCTCATGCAGCGTGACACATCTCCTTCGCATAGAGTTGATCAAGCTGTTGATTGTGGCCTGTGGAATGTTGTCCCACTCCTCTTCAATGGCTGTGTTTGTTGTCCATAGCTTATGCCTGCCCATACCATAATCCCACCTCCACCATGGGGCACTCTGTTCACAACGTTGACATCAGCAAACCACTCGCCCACACAACGCCATACACACTGTCTGCCATCTGGCCGGTACAGTTGAAACCAGGATTCATCAGTGAAGAGCAAATTTGCATTCTCTTAACTGACGTTGGAGGCGGCTTATGATAGAGAAATTAACATTCAGTTCTCTGGCAGCAGCTCTGGTGGAGATTCCTGCAGTCAGCATGCCAATTGAACGCTTCCTCAAAACTTGAGACATCTGTGGCATTGTGTTGTGACAAAATTGACCATTTTAGAATGGCCTTTTTTTGTCGCCAGCACAAGGTGCAACTGTGTAATGATCATGCTGTTTAATCAGCTTCTTGATATGCCACACCTGGCAAAGGAGAAATGCTCACTAACAGGTATGTAAACAAATGTGTGCACAACATTTGAGAGAAAAAAGCTTTTGTGCATATGGAAAATGTCTGTGATCCTTTATTTCAGCTCATGAAACATGGGACCAACACTTTACATGTTGCATTTATATTTTTGTTCAGTCTCTCTATCTCTATCTATTCATCATTCTATCATTCTGTCTTTTGGAACCCTTTTTTCTAAGAGTGTAGTGGTGGTTGCATCATGTTATGGGTATGCTTGTACTGGAGAGTTTTTCAGGATAGAAAATAAATGGAATGGAACTAAGCACAGGCAAAATCCTAGAGGAAAACCTGGTTCAGTTTGAATTCCACCAGAGACTGGGAGATTAGTTCACCTTTCAGCAGGACAGTAACCTAAAACACAAGGCCAGTGACCAGAAATCTCAATTTAAACTATTTAAAATTCAGGCTGTAACAAAATGTAGAAAAAGTCATGGGGTGTGAATACTTTCTGAAGGCACTGTAAGAGGTGGGTCCTGAGTTATGAGAATACATCTACGGACGTGTGTGTATTTGTGAGAGAGACTGTTATTACTGTTACTGTGACTAAGGCTTCTCTAAAAAGGTCCTCAGAATCGGGTCCAGGCTATTGTTGTTATGGGAGACACCATTCTCACCCCCTTCTGACCCCCTCCTCATGTTTCCTCTGTCCTTAAGTACTTCCTAACTCAAACAATCAGTTGCAGATGCTTATCAGCATGGTTTGTCCCTGAGTCTATTTAAGGCTTCAGACAGCAGCCCCAGGCTGGAACTAAAAGTGTGTTGTGTTGTGGTGTGTTGTGTTTCTGTTGTGTTGTGTTGTGGTGTGTTGTGACAAAGAGGATATATGACAGTGGTAGCTGGAAACTGCTCTGGTATCTGAAGAGCTCTTGAGCCTTAATGGAGTGGGATAGTGTTCTGTGTGAACAACACAGCACTGTGTCCAGGGTATGAGCCTCTCTGCTCCACAATGTGGTCCTTTCACAGTGGCAGAGCGGAGAGGAAAGGGGGCCCATTGAAACTGACTGGGCACAGTGAGCGCGTGCCTCTTTACTAAGATGTATCTGTTGGATGAAAACGTGGTACCGTACTTTGTCATTTGTAGACAGAATTAATTATCCCTGTTAAAGTAACATTTGAAAACTGAAATATCATCATGACTATCTCTATGTATATCGCTCTGGTTGGAAGCTGCCAGTGTCAGCGGATGTCACTCAAACAGGTTGATTCAGACAGCTGATGTCTATGTCTGTGTGTGTGTCTGTCTGTCTGTACGTATTCTCACTCAGTTGGACTAAAAGTATCTCCTCTCTTTCTCTTCTCTCCTAGTAAACTCAGGCACCAGGCCCAACGAGAAAGGTTTGGATACAAAGCGGTAAGCCACATCACAACAACACCACACAGCTATAGGATGTCACATTACTGCACAGTGTCTTCTGTAAGTCAGTCATGTTCAGCACATTGCATGTATAACACAGTTACGTCATCACATCTTTGCGTACAAACTCAGGGTACATTCCATGTCACCTCTAGTGCAGTCGTGCTGTGTAGATTATCAGAAGCGCCTGGTGAAGTCCTTAACATCTCAGAAATACATTAGAGAAATCTATTGTAACTGCAATGAAGACAGCCTGGAACGCCATCTCAATCCTCACAGTGTCTTAGGCCCCCTAGTGATGAGTGCAGAAACATCCAAATGATATTTTAGTCATCAAACATCCCTTCATCTTTTGAATTGAAAATGTGTTTCATTCAATGTCTGTCTCGCAATTCTAGCTCTAATCAATTATGCTTTTTCACAGGTGGTGTTCAAAGGGGATACAAAGAAACTGAATCTACACGGGGTTAGTTCTGTCACATGATTAGTTCAGTTTTTTCATCTTTTCATTATGCCTCTTTAGTACTGACTCTTTTTACTATTTTACTCCCCATCGCTGTCTCCCTCCCCTCCTCTCTCTCGCTCTCTCTTTTCTCTCTCTCCTTATCCCCTGGTTTATCTCTCTCTCTCCCCATTGTGCTCCCTCCCCTTCTCTCAATCGCAGCAGACATGTGCGGTGTGCTTGGAGGACTTCAGAGTAAAAGATGAGCTAGGAGTGTTGCCATGCCAACATGCCTTTCACCGGAGGCAAGTGTCACTTCACCTCACACCAAGCAGATGGAAATGATGTGCCAGTGTGTGCGTGTGTGTTACTGAGGTGTTGCTTGTCCTGCAGGTGCCTGGTGAAATTGCTAGAGGTGCTGTCTGTGAGTGTATGTGCGTGCGTGCGTGCATGTGTATCTGTACATGCGTGTGTGCTTGCATGTGTACATACAGTGCCTTCGGAAAGTATTCAGGCCCCTTGACTTACCTTTTCCACATTTTGTTACGTTACAGCCTTATTCTAAAATGGATTAAATAAAATAATGTTCCTCAGCAATCTACACACAATACCCCATAATGACAAAGCGAAAACAAGCTTTTAGATTTTTTAGCAAATTTATAAAAAATTAAAAACAGAAATACCATATTTATATAAGTATTCAGACCCTTTGCTATGAACTCTAAATTAAGCTCAGGTGCATCCTGTTTCCATTGATCATCCTTGAGATGTTTCTGCAACTTGATTGGAGTCCACCTGTGGTAAATTCAATTGATTGGACATGATTTGGAAAGGCACACAACTGTCTAAATAAGGTCCCACAGTTGACAGTGCATGTCAGAGCAAAAACCAAGCCATGAGGTCGAAGGAATTAGAGTAGAGCTCCGAGACAGGATTGTGTTGAGGCACCGATCTGGGGAAGGGTACCAAAAAATGTCTGCAGCATTGAAGGTCCCCAAGAACACAGTGGCCTCCATCATTCTTAAATGGAAGAAGTTTGGAACCACCAATACTCTTCCTAGAGCTTCCTGCCCGGCCAAACTGAGCAATCGGGGGAGAAGGGCCTTGCTCAGGGAGGTGACCAGGAACCCGATGGTCACTCTGACAGAGCTCTAGAGTTCCTCTGTGGAGATGGGAGAACCTTCCAGAAGGACAACTATCTCTGCAGTACTCCACCAATCAAGCCTTTATGGTAGAGTGGCCAGACGGAAGTAAAAGGCACATGAAAGCCCGCTCGGAGTTTGCCAAAAGGCACCTATAGACTCTCAGACCATGAGAAACAAGATTCTTTGGTCTGATGAAACCAAGATGTAACTCTCTGGCCTGAATGCCAAGCGTCACGTCTGTAGGAAACCTGGCACCATCCCTACGGTGAAGCATGGTGGTGGCAGCATCATGCTGTGTGGATGTTTTTCAGCGGCAGGGACTGGGAGACTAGTCAGGATCGAGGCAAAGATGAACGGAGCAAAGTACAGAGAGATCCTTGATGAAAACCTGCTCCAGAGAGCTCAGGACCTCAGACTGGGGCGAAGGTTCACCTTCCAACAGGACAACGACCCTAAGCACACAGCCAAGACATTGCAGGAGTGGCTTCAGGACAAGTCTCTGAATGTCCTTGAGTGGCCCAGCCAGAGTCCAGACTTGAACCCAATCTAACATCTCTGGGGAGACCTGAAAATAGCTGTGCAGCAACGCTCCCCATCCAACCTGACAGAGCTTGAGAGGATCTGCAGAGAAGAATGGGAGAAACTCCCCAAATACAGGTGTGCCAAGCTTGTAGCGTCATACCCAAGAAGACCCGAGGCTGTAATTGCTGCCAAAGGGTCTGAATACTTATGTAAATGTGATATTTCTGTTTTTTATTTTTTTAAAATAAATAAATTAGCAAACATTTCTAAAAACCTGTTTTTGCTTTGTCATTATGGGGTATTGTGTGTAGACTGATGAGGGGAAAAAACAATTTAATCAATTTTAGAATAACGACGTAACGTAACAAAATGTGGTAGAAGTCAAGGGGTCTGAATACTTTCCGAAGGCACTGTATATGTCTGTGTTATACTGACTTGTTGCTTGGCCCTGCAGGTGCCTGGTGAAGTGGCTGGAGGTGCGCTGTGTGTGTCCCATGTGTAACAAGCACATCGCTGGGCCACCTGAACAACGCCACAGTCTGGGCACACTGCTGGACGAACTGGTGTAGCAGGTTGCTATAGCGATACAGCTGGAAAGGACTGGTATAGCGGGTTTGCTATGAATATACAGCTGGAACGGACTGGTGTAGCGGGTTGCTATGACGATACAGCTGGAACGGACTGGTGTAGGATGTTGATATGGTGGTACGACGGAACAGACTGGTTTAGGGGTCCCGGGACGGCTATACGTCGTTGAAGCAAAATGACGGGACAGTCTGTTCTTTGGGACCAGTGACGAAACCACATGACACCATAACTATTGGGAAAGCTTCAGACTTCACACCCTCATTTATTGATAAGGAGATGGGACACAGGGGCGGCAGGTAGCCTACCAGTTAGAGTGTTGGGACAGGTTGCTTGTTTGAATCCCCGTGCCGACAAGGTGTAAATCTGTCGACGTGCCATTGAGAAAGGCACTTTTTTAATGGCAGACCCTGGATGTGACCCCACTCTCTGAGGGTGTCTCAGGGAGAGTTGGGATATGCAAAAAACACATGAAATAGGACAAATATAAGCACCCACCAAACTATCATCATTATGGGTACTTTAGTATGTCATACTACACCGTATCAGGTAGAATCAGTCATATACTGACTGACTGCCCAAGCCTCTACAGTGCTCACTCCACCAGCGTGCCCACTTTTGAACAGACTTCTTCATGAAGAAAGGATTCACAAAGCCACAAACTCTGGGACTAAAACTCCAATCTCAACCCTTAGTCAGTCTGGAAGAGGGGCTACCTGTGAAGAGAGTACTTGAGATAACTCAAGGGCTGCATTGCTGAACGCCTCGATAGAAATATATGATGTAGAACACGTTTTCTTCCGACAATGCCATGTGTCTGTGTGTGTGCATCCTGCTTATATTAAGTGGGTGTGACACACACTCCTGTTATGAACTGTAGGAGGGACCAACAACTACAATGTATTTATCCTGACCAGTATTACCTTATAGATTTGCCAAACAAGCCTTTCCAGTTAATTATATTTAAAGTAAAGGGAGACTTGGAACCATTCCTTTCTGTGTGGTAACATGCACTGAAGCACAGGCACCGCCCAATAGCGAAGTAAACAGTCCCCATTTGTACAATATCTGCTTTTGTAAATATGAGAAGATACTATGTGTCTGTTTTGATCTATGTCCAACCGTGTTTGTGGTGTGTGAACGAACAAGTCTCTTTTCTTGAATTGACAATCGCAAAGCGAACAAAAGCAACAATATCGTCAGAACTGACAAACAAATCTGTTAGGAGTTAAAATCATATTTGTGATTAGAAAGTGCTTTTCTTCCATCCTCTCTACCATGACCAGATAGTGAATCGTACTTTCCCACCAGAGGATAGGCCCATTGATGCACAGATGGTAGCCTAGCAATGTGTGTATGAGTCATCTGATTCATTCCTGGGTTTTTAGGTTAGAACACTACGCACCAGAAATCAATAAGTATGATGACTGTGTCCAAAACGGCACCCTATTTCTATAGTGCAGTAAAAATAGAATGTCATTTCAGACACAGCCCAAGTCTTGAGGAAGGCTACAGCAGGACAGCAGAGAGATGTGGGCCTGGGGCGGACATCACTTTCTGACCGTGCTGAAGAGGACAGAAGCACAGCACTTTTCAAACGCAACGATTTTAACTATTTGGCCTAACCTTTACTCTTAACCTCACTCCTAAGCCCAACCCTTGATTAAAAATAGATGTCTCAATATGGATGGCTCGGTCCTTTCTACCATGGTCATCAAGCGATTACCTAATTCCTGGGGGTTAAGCAACAAACAAAACTCAAGCTATAAGTCAATAGGCTCAGTAATATGATCCTCTGAAACTAAAACAAATTAAATAAAAGAGTATTGATGAAGTTGACTACAGGAGCTTCACTCCTCACATAACAATGATGGAATATACCGACTTAGGTAACACTTTACTTGACACCCAGGGTCATAACACGTTATGACACATATTTAGACCTGTTGTGATATATATTGTGTTATTTTATGGCTGGTTATGACACCTACATGAGTGTCAAAACCCACAGACCCTACCACAGAAGGCAAAACATTCCATTACACCATAGCCTATGTGTCAACGTTATATAAAATGTTTTGAAATTGACCATATTAAATTACCATTGCAATTGTGCACACATTGATGTCAGACACGCACCTACCCCAATGCTCTGTTGCTGATGACTGGGATGAATGCATGAGAAGATTTCAGGAGCAGGACAAGGCACTCTTTTTGACTGATATAAGGGCATGTATGTGATAGGCCTACCTGGCTTATGATGGTCACAATGCTTGCGTGTCAATTGTATTTTCCTAGTCCAAGTAAAGAGGCGTAGGACGGTCATAATGATTCTCGACAGTGTCCCCTATAGCTCAGTTGGTAGAGCATGGCGCTTGCAACACCAGGGTTGTGGGTTCGTTTCCCACGGGGGGCCAGTATGAAAATGTATGCACTCACTAACTGTAAGTCGCTCTGGATAAGAGCGTCTGCTAAATGACTAAAATGTCAAAGTGTATTAAACTATATAAAAAAACATGACTAAAGAATTCATTACAACAAAGGATTTAACAAACAAGCTTTCAAATGAAAGGAAACTGCTTGCCAGGTAAAATAACCAGCCATAAAATAACAGAATGGATCATGACAGTGTTATGACCATGCCATAACATGTTGTGTTAAAGTGTTACCCAGACTTGACAGACTGCCCTTCAGTATCTGTTGCAATGGACATGCTGCACAACTATGATCTCTACAGTGAGGGAAAAAAGTATTTGATCCCCTGCTGATTTTGTACGTTTGCCCACTGACAAAGAAATGATCAGTCTATAATTTTAATGGTAGGTTTATTTGAACAGTGAGAGACAGAATAACAAAAAAATCAATGTCAAAAATTTTATAAATTGATTTGCATTTTAATGAGGGAAAGTCTTTGACGACCTCTTAATCAGAAAGATTTCTGGCTCCCAGTTGTCTTTTATACAGGTAACGAGCTGAGATTAGGAGCACACTCTTAAAGGGAGTGCTCCTAATCTCAGTTTGTTACCTGTATAAAAGACACCTGTCCACAGAAGCAATCAATCAATCAGATTCCAAACGCTCCACCATGGCCAAGACCAAAGAGCTCTCCAAGGATGTCAGGTACAAGATTGTAGACCTACACAAGGCTGGAATGGGCTACAAGACCATCGCCAAGCAGCTTGGTGAGAAGGTGACAACAGTTGGTGCGATTATTCGCAAATGGAAGAAACACAAAAGAACTGTCAATCTCCCTCTGCCTGGGGCTCCATGCAAGATCTCACCTCGTGGAGTTGCAATGATCATGAGAACGGTGAGGAATCAGCCCAGAACTACACGGGAGGATCTTGTCAATGATCTCAAGGCAGCTGGGACCATAGTCACCAAGAAAACAATTGGTAACACACTACGCCGTGAAGGACTGAAATCCTGCAGCGCCCGCAAGGTCCCCCTGCTCAAGAAAGCACATATACAGGCCCGTCTGAAGTTTGCCAATGAACATCTGAATGATTCAGAAGAGAACTGGTTGAATGTGTTGTGGTCAGATGAGACCAAAATGGAGCTCTTAGGCATCAACTCAACGTGTTTGGAGGAGGAGGAATGCTGCCTATGACCCCAAGAACACCATCCCCACCGTCAAACATGGAGGTGGAAACATTCTGCTTTGAGGGTGTTTTTCTGCTAAGGGGACAAGACAACTTCACCACATCAAAGGGATGATGGACGGGCCATGTACCGTCAAATCTTGGGTGAGAACCTACTTCCCTCAGCCAGGGCATTGAAAATGGGTCGTGGATGGGTATTCCAGCATGACAATGACCCAAAACACATGGCCAAGGCAACAAAGGAGTGGCTCAAGAAGAAGCACATTAAGGTCCTGGAGTGGCCTAGCCAGTCTCCAGACCTTAATCCCATAGAAAATTTGTGGAGGGAGCTGAAGGTTCGAGTTGCCAAACGTCAGGCTCGAAACCTTAATGACTTGAAGATCTGCAAAGAGTGGGACAAAATCCCTCCTGAGATGTGTGCAAACCTGGTGGCCAACTACTAGAAACATCTGGCCTCTGTGATTGCCAACAAGTACTAAGTCATGTTTTGCAGAGGGGTCAAATACTTAATTCCCTCAATAATAATAAGCCATTTAGCAGACGCTTTTATCCAAAGCGACTTAGTCATGCATGCATACATTTTTACGTATGGATGGTCCCAGGGATCGAACCCACTACCCTGGCGTTACAAGCGCCATGCTCTACCAATTGAGCTACAGAAAATGCAAATCAATGTATAACATTTTTGAAATGTGTTTTTCTGGATTTGTTATTCTGTCTCAATGTTCAAATAAACCTTCCATTAAAATTATAGACCGATCATGTCTATCAGTGGGCAAACGTACAATGCCTGTGATTTACCAACTCACTAGAGTATTAAATGGAAAACTAGTTCCCGTTACCTTGTAAACAAGAAAGCTCCACATTTTCCTATACTGTCTTTTCTCAGTAGAGTGGAAAAGCTGCAGGGGTGTCCATCATGGGGGTAATCACGTGCTTACTGTTCTAGATACCAAATATGCACTCACATTTAAAGCCCAGTGCAGTCAAAAGCATGATCTGTGTTTTATACATTTCCACACTGTAGGAATAGTGAAATTGGCAATAATGCCTGTTTAGTTGGAGAGCAGTTTGAAAAGACTGCTTGAAATTTCAGCCCATTTTGAGGTCACCAGGCGACAACTGAGTTAGACCAATGAGAAAGAGTTCCAAAACTACCAATAACAGCTAGTTCTGGTTCCCCTCACCACTGCGACAGTCCTAGCAAAACCCTTACTTGATAAACATTGCCTTTGCTAAAGCTGTGTTTCTTTGACCATTTTGATTGAAAACAAATCACAGTAAAGCACTTAATTGTGAAATGATTTGGTCGCAAAGAGCTGCATTGAACCTTTAAAAAGTAAGACTAGGCTCACCTCTGGTGGTGAAAGGAGTGAAGTGTTTCACACAAAAAGCAACAAACGCCTCAACTTTAGCCTACAGGTTTGTGTAAATGTCCTCATCTAGACAATAGTAAAATGTCCAACTAATACTCGGCGGGTTGGAGTTGAGTAAAAGCCACCAGTGAACTGAACACAAAACATGTCCCACCTTGCTGTATTGATAGCGGCGCATGACATTGGCTCAATCAGTATATGCAGGTCACCTAATCATGTAGACCAGGGATGGGAAACTGATGGTGTGGAGGTAAAAAAAAACTCATGAGGGGCCAGTGGCTCTGCGTACCCACATCCATAAACCTCTATTCCATTAGTATGAATTATATTGTTTGAAAGAACCATTTCAGATTATGTAGGTAAAGTTAACTGGGTATTATTCTCCCAGCCAGGGATGCGTGCAAGAGTATAACATGCTTTGTTAAGAGCTCATTTGGGCTGGTTGTTGAATAACTTGGTTCACATTAGAGATTCCAACTACCCCAGCAAATACTTACCATTTGTATGTAGTGCCATATACAGAACACTAATTGAACCAAAATAACACCTCAAACTCACATTACATCCACTCTTATTCAGTGACACCAACACAGTTAAGGAGTCTTTTGCCACTTTATTCTGATTTTGTTAAACAAAAGTGGTCCTCATGGGACAATTCAAAATGCAAAATAAAGGCAAGCCACAAATGAAACAATTTCAGACATAGGACAAACCGTTCCCTAAGGGAGAGGAATGGTAAAAAAACTAATCTCAATGAAGGGGAATATTTCTGATTCTGGGGGAGGGGAGCGATGAGGGAAGTAAGGAGAGGTCGATACTTAGAGCTGCGTGGAGGGAACAAGGGGTGAAGAGAGGGCGGGAAGGAGGGGGTGAAAGGGCAAGAGTGAGGGACGGGTGCTCAGAGTGCTCCGCAGTCAGCGATGACGACCTTGGCGGAACACTTGCCGCTGCTGGAACCCTTCTTCTCCATGCTAGCGATGATGTTGAGCCCCTCGACCACCTTGCCGAACACAACGTGCTTGCCGTTCAGCCTAGAGAGAGAGAGTTCAGAGTGTGGGTACCAATGCTAAAAGAGAGGTTACAGCAGTGTTCTTCCTTGACCAACAACCAGTGCTCAGTATTCCTGAGGTTTAGGGCAAACAGGAAAGAATGTTTGTAGTAACATTTGTCTGGCAAATGTCATTGTTATAACCATTCAAAGTGCAAAATAGACATTCTCCTCCCTGGCATGTTAGCCTAGCAGTAGGCACTACAGCAGGGCTAGTGGGTGAACTATATCTACTTGAAAACAACGTTGATCAAAACATTCCAATAACCATATTAAAACTGCCATTTCTCTTCATCCATAATCACTGGTTACACAATTACCATAGCAGCCCAGTGGTGTGCTGCCCTGAAGGACACTACTTTACAGTGTGCTACAAGTTGCCTTTCAGCCAGTGTTGCAGCATCTCAGTCATGTCAGAGCATTAGGGTGTTTTACACAAGCAGCCAAATTCCAAAATGTCTTCAACCAATTGGTCTTTTGACCAATCACATCTTTTTCAAAACTGATCTGATTTTTTAAAAGTTACTGAGAGAGGGGATAAAAAAAATTAGAATCGGGCTGCCTGTTTTGACAGCGCGAGTGGTGTGCACGCACGCATGTATCAGAGAGGCACCAATGACGGGTCTGAGTGGTGACGGGGCTGAGGAGTGGTGACGGCATCAGCTCTGTTGCCATTTGACAGTCTCGTCACAACCACAAGGCTTGGAAGACCATCGTGAGATAATCACTTGCAGAGAATGTATCAATTTTACATGAAATTTCAATTAAATCAGTCTCAACTGTGTGCGTTCCTCACCAGTCGGTGTTAGCAGTGCAGATAAAGAACTGGGACCCGTTGGTGTTGGGGCCGGCGTTGGCCATGGACAGACAGCCCATGCCTGTGTGCTTCAGGGTGAAGTTCTCATCAGCAAACTTGTTGCCGTAGATGGACTTGCCCCCGGTTCCATTGTGGTTGGTGAAGTCACCACCCTGAAGGTAGGCAAAGAAATCAAATACAATTTTGTCACATGCGCTGAACACGCTTCCTTACAAGCCCGATTATTTGTGCATAAAAATAAGGAAATCGTAACAAAATAATGAGATTATGTACAAGGCGTACCGGTACAGAGTCAATGTGCAGGGGTATGAGTTAACTGAGTTAATATCTACATGTAAGCAGGGGTAAGTGACTAGGCAATCAGGATAGATAAAGTGAGTTAGGGACATCATGACCATTTATTTTGTATAACTAGCCCTTCTCTAAAATCATGCCACTGGAAAGGGTCCTATTTTCTAGAAGAATCCCAACTGCATCAGTTCTGCCATTTGGCAGTGTCGTCATAACCACAAGGTTTGGAAGACCATCGTGAGAAAAACATCACTTGCAGAGAACACGTAAATTATTCACTACATTTCTGTCAATTAACCATATGGTGGGTGGGGGTCTAGCATTGAGTCTGGTTGAAGCAGTCAGCTATAGTCAGATCAGTGCCTGTATTCAGAAATCGTCTCAGAATACACACGCTGACCTATGTTCAGGTCCCGACCCCCCCACTCACCTGGCACATGAAACCGGGGATGATGCGATGGAAGCTGGAGCCCTTGTAGCCAAACCCCTTGTCCCCAGTGCACAGGACACGGAAGTTCTCTGGGGGGGGGAAAAACAGGCAATGTTACTATCAGTGACTGGGCATAGCTGCTTAAAGGCATAAAGGTTGCTTAAAGAGAGAAAATGCTACTGATCATTGAAATATCAAGACTGACAAGGTTGGTTATTCCAAATACACTTGCATTACATCTTTGAAACAGAGCAGTGACGTACAAGCCAAGGCTTTTTGGGTGATAAAGCATTGCAATTACTGAATAAATAGAATCACTCAGATTGAAACAAAACGCCCCAATGTATGACATCACTAAAACAAGTTTGCTACCTAACCACATGTTGTGCATCGTAACCCCAGTCCGTTGCAGAGGCAGCAAATAGGCCATGTCTGCAGGGCTTAGTTCACAGGCTGTCAACCAGGCCATGAGGACTAACAATAGGCTGGGGCCCCACTCTGCCTAGTAAACCCATTCACAGCGGGCCACACTCTGCTACTGCTTACTTTGCGGAAGCAGCCTTGCCCTTTTGCATTTACACGCATCAGCGGTTCATTGTATATATGGTGGGACATGACAGAGGCACCATTGGAAGGGGCTGAGTGGAGTGTTGGTATGATTAGACTGCATCAGTTGTTGCCATTAGGCAGTGTCGTCACAACCACAAGGTTTGGAAGACCATCGTGAGATAAACATCATTTGCAGAGAATGTGAATTATTCAGGAAGTTTCAATTATTGAAGCAGTCTTACCTGCTGTCTTGGGGACAACATCAGCAAAAAGCTGCAAGAAAAGAGGGCTTTTCATTAGCATACACAATCAATGAAGAGGAAACAGCATGCAGAAAGAGCACCAGTTGTCACTAATGAGCAAGGTGAGGGTAAGGCAGGGTTGGAAGTGAAAGACCGTTAAAGCATTGACTACAGGAACCAAGGCAGACTGGGGCTAGACAACGTCTGTTCAAGGTGTTGTGTTCTCATTCCGTTCCATCCGTTCTGATCCACCAGAACTCCCATGTGAGAATGATAACACACTGGTTGTGCGAGATAGGTGCAGCTCTACAGAAGCTGTTCATTTCCAACCTACCTTGTGACAGTCCCGGCAACAGACTAGCAACAACTGGCAACCACAGCTACAGGCAAGGATGTCAGAATTCCACCACATGAGCAGTGTGCACCATCTCATATTGCCTTATACAATCTACCTGCTCACATTACACTATCAGCTAAACACTCATGGTATAAGTTTAAATTATACTTTCCCGTAAGGCACTGATCATGGATCAGTTTACACAAAACATTTTGAATACATTAGGAGGGATGGGAAGACATTAGATCCGTGTCTAGGGGCCAGTTACAGTCAATTATATTCCTGACAAGTGTCAGCCATCTGTGGAAAGTGATAACAGCAACATATAGGCCCCTTCACAACTTGCCTTACCCACCACTGGGCAGCTACAGTGATGGGAGGGCCTCTGCATTGAACACCAGGCGCAGGCTACACAGCAGCTCTCCTCCCTTCTAGCCCCAGACACACCCACATCTGGAGCTAGTACTTTTCCACTCAGAGGAACAAGTTTACGCAGAAAAGCGAAGTCACCAGTTACCACAGCCACAAAGTCAATGGCTAAGCACACATTACTAACATATATATTTTTAAACGCTTGATTTTAAAACCTATCCCCACTGTTAACCTTAGATTAAGACCAAAGAGCAAATGTTTGTCATGAATGTATCACAAAGACCATTGACTTTGTGGCTGTGGTAACTAAGGACAACCCACTCCACCGCTGGAGTTCGCCAATGCCATAGGATCAAGTTGCCCAAGCCCCATAGAGGCTGATCTAAGGTCAGTTGTGTCCCATGCCCTATTGATCCCGAATCTGATTTGGACAAACATCTAACAGGCTTGCTCGCTGGCCTGGCTACCTTTAGTTTGGCAAGCACCACCAAACCAAAGGCCTCCTACTGGCGCCAGCATGGCCTCCGCGTCAAACAATGGCGTCAGCTACATGGACACACGTGCTCCCTCCCACCAGATGACAAAGGGTTTGGAGACCCCAAGTTGTAAAATCGCATCAAAAGTCACCGCTAGAAGAGTAAACCACTACAGTCCCTTTTGCCATTTGAAAGATACTGTGAAATGTTTAATCTGAAAAAGGATTAGCATTTGATACTCCTGGATTTCGCGGAGGCCTTGCGGGTGGACAAGCGTGCCTTCATGTCCACGTGCTACTGGAAGATGAAACAAAATGTGCAAGCATGGGACGTGCGTTCTGGTGCCAACACTCCACCTACAACTTCAATTCAAAATCTTGAGATTTGATGTCACTAAATTGTAATAACGTAAAATTGAGATCTTATTGTGAAGTTAATGGACACTGGGGATATGCAGGGGTTTATTGGGCACCCGGGCTATCTTGGGCCTTGTGTTTGAATGGAAAACGATTATTGAACAGTCACAATGACAACAGCGAGATTTTACCACATGGTGAGACGACTGAAGAGGTCTGGCCTTATGCAAAATATAGTCTACGTTATAACGATAAATACAGATCGCATAACCGCAGCACATCGGATAGCAGATGGCCCATGGGCCACATGCTCCTTGGTGCATTAACTTGAATTTAAAATGCAAATATGGCTGGTATATGGCAGCATTAATATATTTCAGATTTATCAAACTAAATTAATTCCAGCGATTGTACGTAATCAAAACAGCCTGCGGTTAGTACTTTTTGGTACGTTTTGTTCCCTTCCAAACCTGCATCCTCCTTTTTCAAAATGGCATCTGGAGAGACGAAAAAATGATGCTGAAAATGGCGACCGGCTAAAATGGCATGTGCGGTGACTAGTTAGCTACAGTACATAGCCTGGCTAGTTATGTTAATCGAATCAATGCAAATAAACATTTTACGTTCACATGTCTTCCAAGATTGCAGTAACATTTGAGTAAGTCATAGCGAAAGCGAAATACATTTTATACCAAGTGTTTCAACCTCTGCTTCAGAAAGAACTTCGATTTATTTACCGGTATGAAAACATTGCAACACAAATATCGTGTTAAAGCCCAAAGTAAACACTAACAGCAAATATAACCCACAATTTCAATTATTGACAGACATCGTTTAAAATGTACGCAAATCAAGCGAGGTACTGTTAACTACGAGCAAAGTTGAGGAGCTTTCAATGAAACTAACGTTTGCTTGTTAGCCAGCCAAGTAATTAGTTAGTCAACACGTTAAAGAGGAGCACGTGGAACCGAGTCTGACAGCATCCCGGGTACATTCAACTACCTAGCAGCGAGTTAGAGTAGACCGAACGAGAAATTAACAATTATTTTAAAAGGTACCTAAAAAGTTCAGTAGAGCAGAAAGTTAATTTAGTCGCAAAAAGCCGATTTGCTCTACTCCTTACCTCCATCTCAATCCTTCCGGCGGGAGTATCGCCGATAGTGATGTCGAAGTAAACTCTGGGGTTAGGCATTATTGGGATTTAACGGTTTTTTAAATTCGTGAAACTACACGTGTGCAGACAGTAGTTACTGGACGGTGCCGCAGCTGAATCGGAACGGAAATGCTGCTGTGTACACGACATATATATGCGCACCACGGTAAGCCCCCTGAGCCAATGCGAACCAATAAGAAGACTGGGGCCACTGAGTGGCATCAGCTTTAACCGATTAAAGGTCTCGCGGGTGAATAAATTAGAACAATTGTCCCTTCCCCTGCACGCCCGTTTGATCAGCGAGGTTTAGGGGACGGACTAGTGATTGACATCGGGATTGGCCCATTATGGTTCATACATATAACGAAATCGCATTCTGCCCAATGCGCTGCCAGGGAAAGTGTGGGTGTGTTCTGGTGGTGGCGCGTTCGTGAATTTCAGGGCGTCTCCTGCCGAATAAAATCGCCATTATGGGTCAAATATAAAAGTGAGTTATCAATGGATCTGTATGGTGCAACGGATCCGGAATGGCCTGTTTCTCTCGATCACCACTGGACAAAGCGCTCGCGGAATATATGCGGCATCATCACGAATGATTGTAATAAAATACAGAGCTTTTGTGTTGCATCGTGAATAATCTTCTATGATTGCCAGATTAGCAAAAGTGCTGTGTGTGTGTGTGCCTGCGTGATGGCTACCGCATGCGTGGGGGGCCACGCCTGAAATGTTGCGGGTGAATCGATTGTATCGGGTTGCTGACTCGAGCCTGAGTTCTGCTGAACATGGGATGACGTCAGGGTGTTCTTTCCTGTAGCCTACCCTGCTAGGGGGACCGAATACAGTAAAGAGAAAACTAGGGAAGCATGATCATTCAGAAGTGACATTTTTTACTTATAAAACGGATGGAAAATATGGAAATCATCTTTAGAAAAACTGGTGTGCAGTTAAATAGGACAATTCAACATTTCATTAATTGTATTAACTGACATAGGCCTCTAAGCATCATCATCTAGACAATAATAAACCATTAAAAATTCTTACATAGCATGTGCTGTTCATGTCTCATATAGTAACCATGGCCCATATTCACAAAGCATCTCAGAGTAGGAATGTTGATCTAGGATCTGGTCCCCCCTGTACATATAATCTTATTCATTATGATCTGAAAGATGTGTGAATACAGGCCCCGTATGTCTTCTGACATTATGAATTTGACATGTTTCCTAACTCATAGCCTCTGCTAGTTTAAACACATATAGGACAGATGTGCACAGCTTCACCAACACTTTAATTACTCTAATAACAACAATATTATCATGATAATAAAAAAATGAATAGGATACAGATGTTCTTAAACTAAACATTGCACATCCAACATCTGGTGCTCTAAACAGTTAGGTAGGCCTATCATACAAAAACTTTACAAACCAATGACAACCTCAGATGGGTGGGAACAAGACAGATAGTCCCCTCAGGCTAAAGACCCAGGGAGAGGAAGCAGAATGGCTGTTTAAACCTTGGCAATAGGCTTTTGTTTTAAATGTGTGTTACTGGGCTGGAGAGGAAGAGAGAGGGAGGAAGGAAGGAAGGGAGGGAGAATACACATTCACTCCCTGACATTTGGGAAACACATGGTCAGCATAATTTGTCCACCTCTCCTTTCTCCATCAATTCACAGTTCACTGGGGATGCTTTGATCCATTCCGATTGTCTTGAAAGTGTGTGTGTACATTTGTGCATGTTTAAATGTCTCTGCAGTATAGTTGTTATGAAAGAGAGACAGAGAGTGAGAAGGGAGGAGTACCAGAGACAGACAGGGTGTGAGGTGAGGTGAGCTCCCCATGTCTGGCTTCTGACTCACCCTCTCCTCCTTCCCCTCTCTATGTGCCCTACCCAGGGCAAAACAAACAGTTCAAACATCCAGTAGTTTCCTTATTTACCAACTGGCCTGATATGAGACACCTCTCTCTGTATCTCTCTCCTCTTCTCTCTCGCTTTCTCCCTCTACAAAATCCCTCCCATCTCCTTTTGTGTGCTAGCTTTGTATGACCTCATCTGTGTAGATACAGTACACAGCTTGCTGTAGGTATTGCCCAGGGCCCAGTTTCCTGATGGAACATGGCTTATGTGTTTACGCCTGGAGCAGACCAACTGCTTCATTGCGTTTTGGTACACCAGAAATACATTCATTTCCAATGGAATGCTGCAGTTGCAGTGCGTTTGTTCTGTGTTCTGTGTGGTGCATACATTGGATTTATCCAACATGTGCATCAAACTGTATGCGTAGACTTGACATACAGTGCCTTGCAAAAGTATTCATCCCCCTTGGCGTTTTTCCTATTTTGTTGCATTACAACCTGTAATTTAAATTGATTTTTATTTGGATTTTATGTAATGGACATACACAAAATAGTCCAAATTGGTGAAGTGAAATGAAAAATATAACTTGTTTCAAAAAATTCAACAACAAAAAATAACGGTAAAGTGGTGCGTGCATATGTATTCACCACCTTGGCTATGAAGCCCCTAAATAAGATCTGGTGCAACCAATTACCTTCAGAAGTCACATAATTAGTTAAATAAAGTCCACCTGTGTGCAATCTAAGTGTCACATGATCTCAGTATATATACACCTGTTCTGAAAGGCCCCAGAGTCTGCAACACCACTAAGCAAGCGGCACCATGAAGACCAAGGAGCTCTCAAAACAGGTCAGGGACAAAGTTGTGGAGAAGTACAGATCAGGGTTGGGTTATAAAAAATATCAGAAACTTTGAACATCCTACGGATCACCATTAAATCCATTATAAAAAAATGGGAAGAATATGGCACCACAACAAACCTGCCAAGAGAGGGCCGCCCACCAAAACTCACAGACCAGGCAAGGAGGGCATTTATCAGAGGCAACAAAGAGACCAAAGATAACCCTGAAGGAGCTGCAAAACTCAACAGCGGAGATTGGCGTATCTGTCCATAGGACCACTTTAAGCCGTACATCTCCACAGAGCTGGGCTTTACGGAAGAGTGGCCAGAAAAAAGCCATTGCTTAAAGAAAAAAATAAGCAAACACGTTTGGTGTTCGCCAAAAGGCATGTGGGAGACTACCCAAACATATGGAAGAAGGTACTCTGGTCAGATGAGGCTAAAATTGAGCTTTTTAGCCATCAAAGAAAACGCTATGTCTGGCGCAAACCCAACACCTCATCACCTCGAGAACCCCATCCCCACAGTGAAGCATGGTGGTGGCAGCATCATGCTGTGGGGATGTTTTTCCATTGGCAGGTACTGGGAAACTGGTCAGAATTGAAGGAATGATGGATGGCGCTAAATACAGGGAAATTCTTGAGGGAAACCTGTTTGTCTTCCAGAGATTTGAGACTGGGACGGAGGTTCACCTTCCAGCAGGACAATGACCCTAAGCTTACTGCTAAAGCAACACTCGAGTGGTTTAAGGGGAAACATTTAAATGTCTTGGAATGGCCTAGTCAAAGCCCAGACCTCAATCCAATTGAGAATCTGTGGTATGACTTAAAGATTGCTGTACACCAGCGGAACCCATCCAACTTGAAGGAGCTGGAGCAGTTTTGCCTTGAAGAATGGTCAAAAATCCCAGTGGCTAGATGTGCCAAGCTTATAGAGACATACCAATATATTTGCAGCTGTAATTGCTGCAAAAGGTGGCTCTACAAAGTATTGACTTTGGGGGGGTGAATAGTTATGCACGCTCAAGTTCTGTTGTTTGTTTTTTACAAAAAATATTTTGCATCTTCAAAGTGGTAAGAATGTTATGTAAATCAAATGATACAAACCTCCAATAATCAATTTTAATTCCATGTTGTAAGGCAACATAATAGGAAAAATGCCAAGGGGGGTGAATACTTTCGCAAGCCACTGTAAACAGTAGCAAAAGGTGAATGTTGAACTTTTGTTGCTCACATATATCCAGTAACAATTTTGGATTACATAATGAAAAAGTAGAATTTATTATGCAGCATTGATGCAACGACACTGTTGGTCTGTTCAAGGCGTTAAATGATGCAGCTTTCCTACAACACCGAATTCGTAACGCGTCCCAACACAACACGCAGAGAGAAAGGTCGCTAAGTGCGTCATCGGAGCATGTGTCGATACTGATAGAATCGAAAGAAAGGGAGCGCTGCTCTCGGATAAGCTTTCTCCATTAAAATCTTACCTTAACATTATAATTATTTCACAATACTGACGACGGATAAGCTCCTAGAGAAATGTTACCGCCAACTGCTGCAAATATTGACGCAGCTTATTCTAATCACCAATTTGGCTAATCATTAAGCACGTTAGGCTACACATGAAATTTTTGAGACTAATTAGACAGCCTAGCCTAAAAGTAGCAAAATAGAACTCAATTGATTAAACATGAAATACATTTCAATATGATTAAAATAGGCCTATAGCCTGTTTATTTTAATGCAGTCATCTGTTTTTATACGTAGCTTATTTGTATCAATTGCAAAGACATCGGCAACTTCGTACTTGCATTCAACTTTGTTCTTAAGTTATCCGCGGTCACAGAGACGGATAAACCATATGATTATATGTTTAGCGAGATCTTCTGTGAATAAAGTGACGCGGGGGGAAAAAAAAGAGCATCTAACGAAGCACTTAGCTGTTCTACTAGTGATCGGAGGGAGGCGTTAGATTAGGCCTACGAGTGTTTAAGTGCAACGTTAATAACGATGGTTTTGGGAAACAGCTTAAGAGATTTAACGATACTCCTACGTAGGTTCTAACGATTAATTTAGCCTTAAGATGCTTTTGGGAAACCGAGCCCTGGTGTAAACACCACATATCCTAATTTCAGCATTCATAACTTCCATTTAGGATGAACAACAACACCTCTTAATTTTATTTATGACACCTAAGTAATGTCATGTCAACAGAGATCCACTGTCTGTTCCTCGTTTATTGACAAGTTCCACAATCATAAATACACAATGGAAAGTCAACATAACACTTTATTTTTCTGGTTTCTAAAAAGATCCTTTAAAAAGTTAAATCCTTCAGCTTGTGATTTTTTAAAGAACATTGAATTACAGTTATAGCGGCTGGCCAGTGCAGGCAGTCCCATTTTTCACTGGATTATTATTATTTTTTAATTTATTTGATGGATCCAGAGTGCAAAGGGATGCTTTATAATGAGTCTAAAAACACTACAGTCTTGACAGAGTTTCCAGACAGAGAAAGTCATGTCTGTCTCTCACTACCCTCTGCACCTTCCTGTTGGTCTGGTCCACAGAGGGTAGGGATGGGCAGGCATGGGGTATAAAACATGGATCCCTCTCTGTCCCGTCCCGTCCCCTCCCACTCCCCCCCCTCCCCCCTCAATAGGCTGAAGCTGTCCCTAAACAAGGAAGGAAGAGAGTCTTCAGTTGTTCTCGAACAGAGAGAGCAGGTCGTCGTTGCTGTTGCTAGGTAGATCTGGAGGACCCAGGTAGGACAACAGCTCGTCTGGATTGGTCAGCTCAGGGAGAAGCTGGAGAGGGGGAACAGAGAGAAAGAGAAGGGGGAGAGAAAGTGTTATTGTTGTTATTGTTGCTTTGACGTGTTCCTTCGCTTTTCATGCCAATAAAGCGTCTTGAATTAAAATAAATTGATTTTGAAAAAGCAGAGAGAAAGGGGGAGAGAGAGAAAGAGAGAGAAAGGTTTGTTTGTGGCACATGGATGTGGCAAAAAACAAGCTCTTTCCAAGAGTGAAGGTAGCTTCAGTTCGACATGCCCAATATAACTCAATCTACAGTATCGCTGAACGAGCAGCTAGCTGGCTTTCTGTGTGGTTGCCTTACGGTTGTCTAACGGTTGTCTTATGGTTGTCTTACGGTTGTCGAAGTAGATTGATCTGTGGAAGTTCCTCCCCTGCAACCGGTTCGCCCCGTCCCCAGTGAAAGAGGGAGGGTGGGGGTTAGTATAAAACCACCCACATGGGCCCAGATCCAATATCCACACCAGCAATATCACTTAGGATGCATGCCCAATATAGGACTTCGTAATGGCATCGCATGCATCACATGTACACACTTAACTTAAACCTGCATGAATCATAACCACTTCGTCATTGGTGTTGCATTTTCAAACCCAATGTGTACCTTACAGATTTGCAAAGTGGATGTTTTCTATCGCAGCTGTTGCCCAATCTCACAAGGAGAAAACTTGTTTTTGCCATATCTGTATCTGTATTGGCTATCATTGTCTAGAAAATATCAGTTATCGGTATCGAACACCATTTCCATATGGGTGTGAGAGGGCTGAGGTAGTGACTTACGTCCAGGGTGTGATCTGCTCCCTCTCCTCCTCCTGCTCCCCCCAGGCCGAACGAGCCCTCCGTCTGCAGCCGGGTATTCTGGGTATTTGCGTTCCGCTGCTGCATCTGTCCGGCAACGCTGCCTCCGAGACTCTGGTTACCGTGGAGACCCTGCTGGTGCTGGTGCTGCTGCTGTTGTTGTTGTTGTTGCTGCAGGGCATTATGGGAAGGGTCCATACGGCCAGAGTGGGACATCTGATGGAGAGAGATGGAGGAGAGCGACAGAGAGGGGGAAAAAGAGAGCAGAAGAGAGGGATAGGAAGGGAGAAAAAGAGAGAGAGAATATTGAGTTTCACATTGTATGATGTTATATGGAGGTTACGTTCAGGGCAGTTGTGAATGCGTTGGAAATGGTAACGTGCAACAAACCAGTGGTAAAGTGCAATCCTTCATGAGTTCTGCTCCACAGTCTGTGTGTGTGACAGAGAGAGAAGTGAAGAGGGCGAATGGTGGATGCTTTGTGCCCTCTCTAAAATACTTTCTTGGACAGCTGAGCAGCTGTCTGTGACAGGCGTGAGCGCCTGCAGGTGTGTGTAAGAGTGTGTGTGTGTGTGAGTAAATGCTGTCTCCTCCAGGCCCAGTCAAAAGGCTCTTCACTGTACACACAAGCCAGAAGGGCATGACAGTCACTCTTGGATAACTAACTTAGATGAATACATCACTTTATATAAACGTGCGCGCACACACACACACACACACACACAAAGTAGCTTCAGGCAAAACTAATGTAACATGGTCAATCAGCTGATGCCTTTTATTCAAAGCCACTTACGCTGAACACAAACACACGATATTCACCCTACTCAGAAATCCACCCAACTGCTGTTGCAAGCACCATTCTCTAACCAACTGTACCATTGGAACCAAAGCAAGACAGTGTTTGCGTGTCTCTGACTTGCTACTCTACCGTGTCACGGACAGTCAATGGTTGCATCTCATTCCCTATATATTTCACTACTTTTGACCACCAGGGCTGTAGGGCTCTGTTCAAAAGTAGTGCACTACAGGGAACAGGGTGCCATTTGGGACAAACTCGATGTGTGTAATTTGAAGCACGAGATGGTAATCTGATATTGGACACATTCTCAGGAGTTACTCTATTACTATACTACTGCTACTTTTAGTCACTGCCTGTCAGGCACTTTAAGATGTTCAATATGTATATATTAAAAAGTATGCTATGCAATTATAATATATTAGAGGATTTAGTCCTAACAAGTGTGCATCTGATAAGGGCACATTCCATTGAAGTTCACAGCAGTATTATATATAGCATAATATACAGTTGAAGTCGGAAGTTTACAGTGGGGAGAACAAGTATTTGATACACTGCCGATTTTGCAGGTTTTCCTACTTACAAAGCATGTAAATCCAGAAAATCACATTGTATGATCTTTAAGTAATTAATTAGCATTTTATTGCATGACATAAGTATTTGATACATCAGAAAAGCAGAACTTAATATTTGGTACAGAAACCTTTGTTTGCAATTACAGAGATCATATGTTTCCTGTAGGTCTTGACCAGGTTTGCACACACTGCAGCAGGGATTTTGGCCCACTCCTCCATACAGACCTCCAGATCCTTCAGGTTTCGGGGCTGTCGCTGGGCAATACAGACTTTCAGCTCCCTCCAAATATTTTCTATTGGGTTCAGGTCTGAAGACTGGCTAGGCTACTCCAGGACCTTGAGATGCTTCTTACGGAGCCACTCCTTAGTTGCCCTGGCTGTGTGTTTCGGGTCGTTGTCATGCTGGAAGACCCAGCCACGACCCATCTTCAATGCTCTTACTGAGGGAAGGAGGTTGTTGGCCAAGATCTCGCGATACATGGCCCCATCCATCCTCCCCTCAGTACGGTGCAGTCGTCCTGTCCCCTTTGCAGAAAAGCATCCCCAAAGAATGATGTTTCCACCTCCATGCTTCACGGTTGGGATGGTGTTCTTGGGGTTGTACTCATCCTTCTTCTTCCTCCAAACACGGCGAGTGGAGTTTAGACCAAAAAGCTATATTTTTGTCTTATCAGACCACATGACCTTCTCCCATTCCTCCTCTGGATCATCCAGATGGTAATTGGCAAACTTCAGACGGGCCTGGACATGCGCTGGCTTGAGCAGGGGGACCTTGCGTGCGCTGCAGGATTTTAATCCATGACGGCGTAGTGTGTTACTAATGGTTTTCTTTGAGACTGTGGTCCCAGCTCTCTTCAGGTCATTGACCAGGTCCTGCCGTGTAGTTCTGGGCTGATCCCTCACCTTCCTCATGATCATTGATGCCCCACGAGGTGAGATCTTGCATGGAGCCCCAGACCGAGGGTGATTGACCGTCATCTTGAACTTCTTCCATTTTCTAATAATTGCGCCAACAGTTGTTGCCTTCTCACAAAGCTGCGTGCCTATTGTCCTGTAGCCCATCCCAGCCTTGTGCAGGTCTACAATTTTATCCCTGATGTCCTGACACAGCTCTCTGGTCTTGGCCATTGTGGAGAGGATGGAGTCTGTTTGATTGAGTGTGTGGACAGGTGTCTTTTATACAGGTAACGAGTTCAAACAGGTGCAGTTAATACAGGTAATGAGTGGAGAACAGGAGGGCTTCTTAAAGAAAAACTAACAGGTCTGTGAGAGCCGGAATTCTTAATGGTTGGTAGGTGATCAAATACTTATGTCATGCAATAAAATGCAAATTAATTACTTAAAAATCATACAATGTGATTTTCTGGATTTTTGTTTTAGATTCCGTCTCTCACAGTTGAAGTGTACCTATGATAAAAATGACAGACCTCTACATGCTTTGTAAGTAGGAAAACCTGCAAAATCGGCAGTGTATCAAATACTTGTTCTCCCCACTGTACATACACTTAGGTTGGAGTCATTAAAACACGTTTTTCAACCACTCCACATATTTCTTGTTAACAAACTATAGTTTTGGCAAGTCGGTTAGGACATCTACTTTGTGCATGACACAAGTAATTTTTCCAACAATTGTTTACAGACAGATTATTTCACTTATTTACTGTATCACAATTCCAGTGGGTCAGAAGTTTACATACACTAAGTTGACTGTGCCTTTAAACAGCTTGGAAAATTCCAGAAAATTATGTCATAGCTTTAGTGGCTTCTGATAGGCTAATTGACATAATTTGAGTCAATTGGAGGTGTACCTGTGGATGTATTTCAAGGCCTACCTTCAAACTCAGTGCCTCTTTGCTTGACATCATGGGAAAATCAAAAGAAATCAGCCAAGACCTCAGAAATAAAATTGTAGACCTCCACAAGTCTGGTTCATCCTTGGGAGCAATTTCCAAATGCCTGAAGGTACCACGTTCATCTGTACAAACAATAGTACGCAAGTATAAACACCATGGGACCAAGCAGACGTCATACCGCTCAGGAAGGAGACGCGTTCTGTCTCCTACAGATGAACGTACTTTGGTGCGAAAAGTGCAAATCAATCACAGAACAACAGCAAAGGACCTTGTGAAGATGCTGGAGGAAACAGGTACAAAAGTATCTATATCCACAGTAAAACGACTCCTATATCGACATAACCTGAAAGGCCGCTCAGCAAGGAAGAAGCCACTGCTCCAAAACCGCTATAAAAATGCCAGACTACGGTTTGCAACTGCACATGGGGACAAAGATCGTACTTTTTGGAGAAATGTCCTCTGGTCTGATGAAACAAAAATAGAACTGTTTGGCCATAATGACCATCGTTATGTTTGGAGGAAAAAGGGGGTTGCTTGCAAGCCGAAGAACACCATCCCAACCGTGAAGCACGGGGGTGACAGCATCATGCTGTGGGGGTGCTTTGCTGCAGGAGGGACTGGTGCACTTCACAAAATAGATGGCATCATGAGGAAAGAAAATTATGTGGATATATTGAAGCAACATCTCAAGACATCAGTCAGGAAGTCAAAGCTTGGTCGCAAATGGGTCTTCCAAATGGACAATGACCCCAAGCATACTTGCAAAATGGCTTAAGGACAACAAAGTCAAGGTATTGGAGTGGCCATCACAAAGCCCTGACCTCAATCCTATAGAAAATCTGTGGGCAGAACTGAAAAAGCGTGTGCGAGCAAGGAGGCCTACAAACCTGACTCAGTTACACCAGCTCTGTCAGGAGGAATGGGCCAAAATTCACCCAACTTATTGTGGGAAGCTTGTGGAAGGCTACCCAAAACGTTTGACCCAAGTTAAACAATTTAAAGGCAATGCTACCAAATACTAATTGAGTGTATGAAAACTTCTGACCCACTGGGAATGTGATGAAAGAAATAAAAGCTGAAATACATAATTCTCTCTACTATTATTCTGACATTTCACATTCTTAAAATAAAGTGGTGATCCTAACTGACCTAAGACAGGGAATGTTTTACTAGGATTAAATGTCAGGAATTGTGAAAAACTGAGTTTAAATGTATTTGGCTAAGGTGTATGTAAACTTCCGACTTCAACTGTATATACAGTGGGGAGAACAAGTATTTGATACACTGCCGATTTTGCAGGTTTTCCTACTTACAAAGCATGTAGAGGTCTGTAATTTTTATCATAGGTACACTTCAACTGTGAGAGACGGAATCTAAAACAAAAATCCAGAAAATCACATTGTATGATTTTTAAGTAATTAATTTGCATTTTATTGCATGACATAAGTATTTGATCACCTACCAACCAGTAAGAATTGCGGCTCTCACAGACCTGTTAGTTTTTATTTAAGAAGCCCTCCTGTTCTCCACTCATTACCTGTATTAACTGCACCTGTTTGAACTCGTTACCTGTATAAAAGACACCTGTCCACACACTCAATCAAACAGACTCCAACCTCTCCACAATGGCCAAGATCAGAGAGCTGTGTCAGGACATCAGGGATAACATTGTAGACCTGCACAATGCTGGGATGGGCTACAGGACAATAGGCAAGCAGCTTGGTGAGAAGGCAACAACTGTTGGCGCAATTATTAGAAAATGGAAGAAGTTCAAGATGACGGTCAATCACCCTCGGTCTGGGGCTCCATGCAAGATCTCACCTCGTGGGGCATCAATGATCATGAGGAAGGTGAGGGATCAGCCCAGAACTACACGGCAGGACCTGGTCAATGACCTGAAGAGAGCTGGGACCACATTCTCAAAGAAAACCATTAGTAACACACTACGCCATCATGGATTAAAATCCTGCAGTGCACGCAAGGTCCCCCTGCTCAAGCCAGCGCATGTCCAGGCCCCTCTGACGTTTGCCAATGACCATCTGGATGATCCAGAGGAGGAATGGGAGAAGGTCATGTGGTCTGATGAGACAAAAATATAGCTTTTTGGTCTAAACTCCACTCGCCGTGTTTGGAGGAAGAAGAAGGATGAGTACAACCCCAAGAACACCATCCCAACCGTGAAGCATGGAGGTGGAAACATCATTCTTTGGGGATGCTTTTCTGCAAAGGGGACAGGACGACTGCACCGTATTGAGGGGAAGATGGATGGGGCCATGTATCGCGAGAGCTTGGCCAACAACCTCCTTCCCTCAGTAAGAGCATTGAAGATGGGTCGTGGCTGGGTCTTCCAGCATGACAATGACCCGAAACACACAGCCAGGGCAACTAAGGAGTGGCTCCGTAAGAAGCATCTCAAGGTCCTGGTTGGCCTAGCCAGTCTCCAGACCTGAACCCAATAGAAAATCTTTGGAGGGAGCTGAAAGTCTGTATTGCCCAGCGACAGCCCCGAAACGTGAAGGATCTGGAGAAGGTCTGTATGGAGGAGTGGGCCAAAATCCCTGCTGCAGTGTGTGCAAACCTAGTCAAGACCTACAGGAAACGTATGATCTCTGTAATTGTAAACAAAGGTTTCTGTACCAAATATTAAGTTCTGCTTTTCTGATGTATCAAATACTTTTGTCATGCAATAAAATGCAAATTAATTACTTAAAAATCATACAATGTGATTTTCTGGATTTTTGTTTTAGAATCCGTCTCTCACAGTTGAAGTGTACCTATGAAAAATTACAGACCTCTACATGCTTTGTAAGTAGGAAAACCTGCAAAATCGGCAGTGTATCAAATACTTGTTCTCCCCACTGTAAATTTAGGTGGCCGTGGCTTGCTATATAAAGCAGGCAGACAGGCATCGAGGCATTCAGTTACTGTTCGATTGAACGTTAGAATGGGCAAAACGAGTGACCTAAGCGACTTTGAGCATGGTACGTCTGTGCCAGGCGCGCCGGTTCCATTATCTCAGAAACAGCCAGCCTCCTGGGCTTTTCACGAATGACAGTGTCTAGGGTTTACCCGAGAATGGTGCGATAAACAAAAAACATCCGGTCAGCGGCAGTCCTGTGGGCGAAAACAGCTCGTTGATGAGAGGTCGAAGGAGAATGGCAAGAATTGTGCAAGCTAGCAGGCGGGCCACATACAGGCAAATAACGGCACAGCACAACGGTGGTGTGCAGAGCGGCATCTCGGAACGCACAACTCGCCGGTCCTTGTCATGGATTGGCTAATGTCATGGATTGGCTATTGAAGCAGATGACCACCCCGGGTTCCACTCCTATCAGCTAAAAACAAGAAGAAACGGCTCCAGTGGGCAGGCAATGACCAACACTGGACAATTAATTGAGGAGTGGAAAAACATTGCCTGGTCCGACGAATCCCGGTTCCTGTTACGTCATGCTGATTGCAGAGTCAGGATTTGGTGTAAGCAGCATGAGTCCATGGCCCCATCCTGTCTGGTGTCAATGGTACAGGCTGGTAGTATAATATATAGTATGTTATAAAACTCAGTGATTCGAGCCCTGAATGCTGATTGACTGACAGCCGTGGTATATCAGACCGTATACCACGGGTATGACAAAACATTTCATTTCACTGCTCTAATTACGTTGGTAACCAGTTTATAATAGCAATAAGGCACCTCAGGGGTTTGTGGTATATGGCCAATATACCACGGCTAAGGGCTGTATCCAGGCACTCCGCGTTGCGTCGTGCATAAGAACAGCCCTTAGCCGTGGTATATTGGACATATACCCCACCCACTCTGCCCTTATTTAAGTGACAATGCCAGAGAAGCCGGTGTTTGGAGGATATATTGGCACGGGTGTTGTTTGGCCCGAGACCAGGTCGAGGGCCGGCAAACTGTGTCAATATATCCTGCAAACATCAGCTTCGAGGGCATTATCACTTTTATACAACGGGTTATCAACATATTCAAATAATGATTGACATATTTTCATTAAAAACATTAATTTGATTAAGTTATTCATACTATTTCATCTTTCCACAAGATATAGTCCCGACACAAATCTAGGGTTGCTACCCAAGCCGGCTGGTTGTTCGTTCTATTGGTTCGGTTGCCATACTAGCTGGCAACGTTCTTATCCCTTGCTTGCTTGCTAGCCAACTACAGCTAACTTATGTCAAACAGTGCAGCCAGAATAACAACCAAGTAGGTTCATTTGCATTTGTTTAGGCTGTTTTCTAGTGTTTGGATACATCCATAAGAATGAGTTAATGATGCGCGATTTCACCTGGCATAGAAAATGTGCTCTCTCGTCAGGACACTGTTGTTCGAGAGCTAGCTAACAACACAGCTAACACAATCACTTCAAACTGAAGCTGGAAAGACTGCAAACTAGCTGCACACAATAAAAATTATGCAGATTCGTGATTTCGACTGGCTGAGAAAAGCTGCCAACCTGTCCGTCTCATCCCGACTCCCGACACGTTCATTACTATGGGCAGCTGGAGATTGAATTTGAATATTGAAAGAATTTTGCAAATGTCGGAGAAACAGACAGCAAGGTTTATACAAATCTCCGCTGTTGAAAACTAAATGTTAGTCTAAAAGAACTGTGAGATAATGTCTAGATGCTTTTTATAGTGGAGATCAAGTTTATAAATTGCCTGGCTGGGCTGATGAGAGAGTGTATTGTGCAGTCAGATGGAACAGAGTAAATAGCCATTTCAATGTCATAGATTTAGCCAGTGGTAACTTGTGGAATAGACACCAGCTGGAATGTGATTTGAACCAATGAGCATTCAGGATTAGACCCACCTGTTGTATAATGCTTAAATATATTATTCTAGTGGATGCATGACTAGTAGGGTGTGTGTAGGAGCACGTGTGTGCAAAATATTTGAGAGATTCTTCTAGGCACACTGGTGCTCCTAAACACAAATTCCAGGTTGCACAGCAAAATATTTAGGCGCATATCCGAGTAAAATGGTCGCACTGTAGAGGCGATGTGCACATCGTTCAGCTCCGCTGTTAACAATTAAGTGACCTAACTGGAGCCTGTGAAGGCTCTCTCTATAGCGATAACAGAGGCCTGATGTAAGGACATTAGTGTGTACTTTGACCCTGTGTGTGTTCCTTCACTCCCTTTCTAACCCAGTCAGACATTAGGTCATTCGCTTTCAGACTGACTAGAAATGGAATTGACCCCCGAACCTTGTCACTGTAGCCTGAGGGGACCTGTGTGTGTGTGTTACCTGGTCCTGCTGGTAGATGTTAGGTGGCCCAGGGGAGGTGAAGTCTCTCAGGGTGGGAGTTCCAGGGGTGTTGGGGAACTCAGAGAAGCCTGACTGGCTGGAGTATCCTGGACCTGCTGGATGAACAACACACACGACAGACACAGGTGGAATTGTTGTGTTGTAAAAAACATTTTCAATTGTAACTAATAGGCGGCAATATAATTAATTTTCTGTATGTGTGTGTGTGTCCGTCTCCTCCCTACCTTGGCTGTTGTAGTCAGGTGTGTTCCTGCCCCCAGGTGGTAGACCCTGGTAGGGCGAGGAGGCCGGTCCCAGGGCAGCGATCATCTCCATGACATTGGGCATCATCATGTGACTGGGGCTGACCGTCCGGCAGCGCTTCAACACAGGCCCGTCTGCTTCCTCCTTTATGTGGATGTCTGGTTTAATGGGCACTGGCCTCCAGCCACACACTGGGTCAATGGTGATCTCCTCATAGTCTGAACTGAGGAGGGAAGAGGGGGGGAGAGAGAGGTTAGAGAACAAAGAGAAAGAAGAAGGTGAGAAAGATGAAGGGCCCATTTCAAGGACACCTAACTGTAGACCTAATTATGGCTAAGTTAATGAAGAACTAAAAATGAACATAGTAGGGCAGGCAAATTCCAATCTAGACCTCAAAGCCAGTTCCACTTCTGATGCATTTTAAGTATTCCCCTTTAAATGGCCACCAGGTGAGTGCAATTGATTATCAGGTAGAACAGAAAACCAGCAGCACTCTGGTCCTCCAGGCCTGTAGTAGGGGATGTGTACACAGACACACATACACACGTTTTGTTCTTCTAGCCTTGTGGGGACCTAAAACTGAACTAAATGACTATCGCCCAGTAGCACTCACCTCTGTCATCATGAAGTGCTTTGAGAGACTAGTAAAGGATCATATCACCTCTACCTTACCTGTCACCCTACATTTTACATTTACATTTTAGTCATTTAGCAGACGCTCTTATCCAGAGCGACTTACAGTTAGTGAGTGCATACATTATTATTTTTTCATACTGGCCCCCCGTGGGAAACGAACCCACAACCCTGGCGTTGCAAACACCATGCTCTACCAACTGAGCTACATCCCTGCCGGCCATTCCCTCCCCTACCCTGGACGACGCTGGGCCAATTGTGCGCCGCCCCATGGGTCTCCCGGTCGCGGCCGGCTACGACAGAGCCTGGATTCGAACCAGGATCTCTAGTGGCACAGCTAGCACTGCGATGCAGTGCCTTAGACCACTGCGCCACTCGGGCTTCAATTTGCTTACCGCCCCAATAGATCCACAGACGATGCAATCGCCATCACACTGCCCTATCCCATCTGGACAAGAGGAATACCTATGTAAGAATGCTGTTCATTGACTATAGCTCAGCATTCAACACCATAGTACCCTTCAAGCTCATCATTAAGCTCGAGGCCCTGGGTCTGAACCCCGCCCTGTGCAACTGGGTCCTGGACTTCCTGACGGGCCGCCCCCAGGTGGTATAGGTAGGAAACAACATCTCCACTTCGCTGATCCTTAACACTGGGGCCCCACAAGGGTGCGTGCTCAGTCCCCTCCTGTACTCCCTGTTCACCCATGACTGCGTGGCCAAGCACACCTCCAACTCAATCATCAAGTTTGCATATCTTGCACTGCTCTCATATGTCTATACTGTATTCTATTCTATAATATTCTACTGTATCTTAGTCCATGCCGCTCTGTCATTGCTTGTCCATATATGTATATATTCTTAAATTCCATTCCTTACTAGATTTGTGTGTATTAGGTATATGTTGTGAAATTGTTAGATATTACTGCACTGTCGGAGCTAGAAGCACAAGCATTTCGCTAGACCCGCAATAACATCTCCATTCAAAATCCAATTGTTCCTAACCCCTAAACCTGACCTAACCCTTACCCTTACTGTAACCCTAAACCTAACCCCTAAGCTTAAACTAGCCTTTGTCCTCATGGGGACGTGGGAAATGTCCCCACGAGGGAGAATTCTCCTTGTTTTACTATTCTTGTGGGGCCTTTTGGGGATTTTAGGTCCACACAAGAATAGAAGAACACACACTTACTTCTGTATGTAAATTAGAATCCCCAGCATGTACTGGTCCACTTCTAGTCCCTCCAGTAGAGCGCTCTTACTGTGGAGTAGAGACAAGGTCAGGTTAACTAAGAAACAACAGGTCTACCTATGGGAAAGATAGTAAATGCTTGTGTTAACCTACTTGCACACAGGGCATCTCCAGGTCCCTCTCTCACAGTTCAACTGCAGGTACGACTCCAGGTCAAAACACTGCAGAGAGAAAGACACAGACAGAAGTTTAGGGTGTGTGTGTGTCTCTCTAGTATCTCACCTGTATGTTTAGAGTTATAGTACGTAAGTGCTTGTGGGAGTACATGTATGTTTTCACCAGTGTGTGTGTGTGTCTCTCACCTGTATGTGTCTACAGTCGTGTCCACGTGCAGGCAGCTGGATGCGTCTGAAGGTGATAGGACATTTCAGAGAGACTTTGATGGCTGTCTGTTCCACACCATCCTCTCCATTCAGCCCTGTGGTCCCAGGGATGGTCCCACTATTGAAGTTCCTCTTAACTGAGGAGAGGGACATGGGGGGGGGGGGGGGGGGGCGGACAAGAGGACAGGCAAGAGAACGGGTGAGAATTGTGACAAAGTCTTTCTTTCTGAGAACCAACCAACCAGGCAGTCAATCAATCAAGTGTGTGTGTGTTCCACTCACTCTTAGACACACAGTGCTCTGCGGGCAGTAATCTCTTCTTCATTAACCCTTGCAGAACCGAGCGTACTGATGGCCTGTGGACCAGCTGCAACACAAACAGGTGGGACTGGAGAGAGAGAAAGGGATGGGGGAGAGAGAGAGAGAGAGGGGGGGAAGTTAATTTGGATCCTGCATAACACTTATAGACCAACAGATGTGCACATCCAGCAGGCAAAATTTGCAGCGTGACGTAATCTTTTGGTTGTAAATGGATTTTCTGGTTGTTAAGATGTCATAAAAGCAGATTACAACCAACCGGTCTCTGTTACAACCAGGTAAAGACATATTTTTCATGACAAGATCAAGACATTGTGGATAAAACGTCATATTTTGGTTGTAATCTGGTTCTGACCAGATTAACAAAACGTGCTTATACAACCAGTATACCACCTGACCATGACGTCATTAATGCAAAAAGTTCTGCCCACTGTGCAATACATGTCCCATGCACACACTAACAACCCCCCCCCCCCCCACCAACACCACACACACACACTAACACCCCCCTCCCCCACACACACCTCTGTCCTCCTACTTACGCAGCAGCAGGCGGTGACGGTGATCTGGATGGTGTTACGTCCCGGCTGACACACCTGCTTGAGGTAGAGGGGCTTGTGGGACGTCTTGTTGTCGCCCCTCTCGATGGTGAGCGGTGTGGCGTTCACACTCACCTGTAAGCAAGGACCAGACACCTACATGACAGACAGGTGAATGGAGGATCGGCTAACACGCTAGTCACAGTCGTCACACTGGCCTCAGAGTAGGAGTGCTGATCTAGGATCAGGTAACTACTGTCCACATAATCTTATTCGTTACAAGCTAAAAGGCCAAACTGATCCTATATCAGCACTCCTAATCTGAGACGATTTATGAATATGGGCCTTGGGCCACCTTCAGTATAGAGTGCAGCATTGTGGAACGTTTGGATAGAAATACGTTGTGTAGAACAGACATCTAGAGTAGAGATATTGAGTAAGGAATCATATCAGTTCCATTTATGGTATTTCTATCTACAATGTTCAGTACCTTGTACCCTCCTGAACGCTACCCTGTCTAACCAAGAAGTGTCTCAAATGACTAGCTAATTCACAGTTGTCGTTCATCAACTGGTTAACCCAGACACCAAGGCTGGATTAATAATCTAGATGAACTCTGCTGAGACTTTGAGATTTCAGTGCATGCCAGAATTTTTAACTTTACGCAAGCATAAGTGAGAGCGCTTGGGGGAGCGTAACCCCAGCCTAACCCATTCTGATAGGGATGTGTGTACATGCACATAGATCAGGTTGTATGTGAAATAATATATTTTAAAAATACCATTATTTATAACACTGCTATCTTGGGAAGGTCTGTTATATTGTGTTTTGTTTGATGTTGCATTTTGATCTCTCTGTGTGTGTGTGTATATTTGAATGGGTACCTGTAAGTGTGATTGTACCTGTACGGAAGCGGGCCAGTTAGTGTTCATCTGCCGGTCCTCGTGGTGATAACACTTAAACTGCAGCTCCAGGTCAGGCCTAGGACACACACACACACCAGCGTCATCAATTAATAATGTGGTAAAACTCCAAACTCTATGGTATTAAAACACTGGATCACGTCACAGTAACGGCTGCTGTGATTGGCTGAGAGGCGGTGGGCACTGACCTCATCATGAGGGTTTTGTAGACGGAGTCTCGCAGCTGGAAGGCATGGTTGCTGACCGCCAGGTTGTGCTCCAATCGGAACGGCTCCAGCACCACGCCGTCGCGCACCGGGAAGGTCAGCCGCAGGTCGTCGCTAGGGTTACCTAGACAGGGGGGAGGGGGTGAGGGAGGGGCGTGAGAGTGCACAGGTATTTAACCTATGAATTGGACCCAGGGTCATGTTCATTAAGGAACGCAAAGGCGTTCTAAAACATTTTGTAAAGGAAAACTAAAATTAGCATTTCTTATTGGACACGTCCAGGCTGTCTCTCTCAATACATTTCCATTAGTCCAATGACTTGATAAAGGAGTGTATGTTGTAGTAAGACTATCTCACCAGTGGGGGGCTGTAGGGAGTTGATGTTGGGCTTGACGTCAGGGCCTTGGGGGAGGTAGGGGGGCTTGGTGTCTGGTCCAGGCCCACCGGGGGACAGGTAGGGGGGCATGCTGCCCGGAGTCATGGGAGGGGTGGGGTTACCCCCCAAAGGAGAACTGGGGTACCCCGGCATCACCCGGCCACCCTGCTGAGAGGGAGAGTTTTAAGTAGAAGATACCATCATAAAGCTACAATTCATTATACTGTATAACGCTACGGCTACAAAGAGATGCATGAACACGGATGAAATTGTATATTAATTATTTAATTGTCAACTCCAGTCAACTATTTTGAGATGAGCTGCATACAGCAATTGTGTGTTTTTTGACAGACATGATTGTCCATCATATGTCTACGGATGACTCGCATTGAAAAACCATTTGGCTCAATCCGTAATTGCGGACACTAAATCCCTGTGTGGCCGTAGGCTAACACATGTTCTTTATTTGGGTCGACAAATTACAATTACATTATAAATTATATTTGCAAAAGACCCAAACATTCCAAAGCAAAGGACCCAAACATTCCAAAGCAAAGGACCCAAACATTCCAAAGCACCATCTCCTCCACACTGCCAAGCTACATACACACACAGGGTGGCTTACCGCGTTGACAGCAGCCTGTGTGAAGGCGTTGTAGCCTCCTGGTGGCATGTTACCCTGCTGCCCATTATACTGCTGCTCCTGCTTAAACACACACACACAATATCAGTGGTGATGGAGAGCCAGTAGGAGGCACTCTTACCTCTGGTCCCCAAAAAATATCCCAATGCCCCAGGGCAGTGATTGGGGACATTGCCCTGTGTAAGGTGCCATCTTTCGGATGGGACGTTAAACGGGTGTCCTGACTCTATGTGGTCACTAAAGATCCCATGGCACTTATTGTAAGAGTAGGGGTGTTAACCCCAGTGTCCTGGCTAAATTCCCAATCTTGCCCACATATCATCCCCAGCTTCTAATTGCCTCATTCATCCCCCCTCCTCTTCCCTGTAACTATTCCCCAGGTTGTTGCTGTAAATAAGAATGTGTTTTCAGTCTTACCTGGTAAAATAAGGGTAAAATAAAACATTTAAAAACGATATCAGCGCATGACCAGCACAGTCACTAAGATGTAGCAGTCAATAACATGTAGCAGTTAAAAGCGTTCGGCCAGTAACTGAAAGTTTGCTGGATCGAATCTCCGAGCAGACTAGGTGGAAAAATATGTTGATGTGCCCTTGAGCAAGACACTTAACCCTAATTGCTCATGTAAGTCGCTCTGGAGAAGCGCGTCTGCTAAATGACTGAAATGTAAAATACTCACTTGAAAAGCCCATATTGATAACTATAACTTTAAAATATATATATTTGTATAAAGGGGAATGGAATTCTATTCCACTTTCATATTTTAGAAGCTTTTATTGTGAAGGAACAAAAGTGTGAGACAGATGAAAGGGAAATATAGTGAAGTCAAATAAGGCGTAAGCAGATATCGAACCCCTATTAATGGAGGACATACAGTTGAAGTTTACATACAGTGAGGGGAAAAAGTATTTGATCCCCTGCTGATTTTGTACGTTTGCCCACTGACAAAGAAATGATCAGTCTATAATTTTAATGGTAGGTTTATTTGAACAGTGAGAGACAGAATAACAACAAAAAAATACAGGTACAGGTAATACTTTTATACAGGTAACGAGCTGAGATTAGGAGCACACTCTTAAAGGGAGTGCTCCTAATCTCAGCTTGTTACCTGTATAAAAGACACCTGTCCACAGAAGCAATCAATCAATCAGATTCCAAACTCTCCACCATGGCCAAGACCAAAGAGCTCTCCAAGGATGTCAGGGACAAGATTGTAGACCTACACAAGGCTGGAATGGGCTACAAGACCATCGCCAAGCAGCTTGGTGAGAAGGTGACAACAGTTGGTGCGATTATTCACAAATGGAAGAAACACAAAAGAACTGTCAATCTCCCTCGGCCTGGGGCTCCATGCAAGATCTCACCTCGTGGAGTTGCAATGATCATGAGAACGGTGAGGAATCAGCCCAGAACTACACGGGAGGATCTTGTCAATGATCTCAAGGCAGCTGGGACCATAGTCATCAAGAAAACAATTGGTAACACACTACGCCGTGAAGGACTGAAATCCTGCAGCGCCCGCAAGGTCCCCCTGCTCAAGAAAGCACATTAACAGGGCCGTCTGAAGTTTGCCAATGAACATCTGAATGATTCAGAGGAGAACTGGGTGAAAGTGTTGTGGACAGATGAGACCAAAATCCAGCTCTTTGGCATCAACTCAACTCGCCCAAGAACACCATCCCCACCGTCAAACATGGAGGTGGAAACATTATGCTTTGGGGGTGTTTTTCTGCTAAGGGGACAGGACAACTTCACCACATCAAAGGGACGATGGACGGGGCCATGTACCGTCAAATCCTGAAAATGGGTCGTGGATGGGTATTCCAGCATGACAATGACCCAAAACACACGGCCAAGGCAACAAAGGAGTGGCTCAAGAAGAAGCACATTATGGTCCTGGAGTGGCCTAGCCAGTCTCCAGACCTTAATCCCATCGAAAATCTGTGGAGGGAGCTGAAGGTTCGAGTTGCCAAACGTCAGCCATGAAACCTTAATGACTTGGAGAAGATCTGCAAAGAGGAGTGGAACAAAATCCCTCCTGAGATGTGTGCAAACCTGGTGGCCAACTACAAGAAACGTCTGACCTCTGTGATTGCCAACAAGTGTTTTGCCACCAAGTACTAAGTCATGTTTTGCAGAGGGGTCAAATACTTATTTCCCTCATTAAAATGCAAATCAATTTATAACATTTTTGACATGCGTTTTTCTGGATTTTTTTGTTTGTTATTCTGTCTCACTGTTCAAATAAACCTACCATTAAAATTATAGACTGATCATGTCTTTGTCAGTGGGCAAACGTACAAAATCAGCAGGGGATCAAATACTTTTTTCCCCCACACTGTACACCTTAGCCAAATACATTTTAACTCAGTTTTTCACAATTCCTGACATTTAATCCTAGTAAAAATTCACTGTCTTATGTCAGTTAGGATAACCACTTTATTTTAAGAATGTGAAATGTCAGAATAATAGTAGAGATAATGATTTATTTCAGCTTTTATTTATTTCATCACATTCCCAGTGGGTCAGAAGTTTACATACACTCAATTAGTATTTGGTAGCATTGCCTTTAAATTGTTTAACTTGGGTCAAACGTTTCAGGTAGCCTTCCACAAGCTTCCCACAATAAGTTGGGTGAATTTTGGCCCATTCCTCCTGACAGGGCTGGTGTAACTGAGTCATGTTTGTAGGCCTCCTTGCTCGCACACGCTTTTTCAGTTCTGCCCACACATTTTCTATAGGATTGAGGTCAGTGCTTTGTGATGGCCACTCCAATACCTTGACTTTGTTGTCCTTAAGCCATTTTGCCACAACTTTGGAAGTATGCTTGGGGTCATTGTCCATTTGGAAGACCCATTTGCGACCAAGCTTTAACTCCCTGACTGATGTCTTGAGATGTTGCTTCACTATATCCACATAATTTTCATTCCTCATGATGCCATCTATTTTGTGAAGTGCACCAGTCCCTCCTGCAGCAAAGCAATCCCATAGCATGATGCTGCCACCCCCGTGCTTCACGGTTGGGATGGTGTTCTTCAGCTTGCAAGCTGCCCCCTTTTTCCTCCAAACATAACGATGGTCATTATGGTCAAACAGTTCTATTTTTGTTTCATCAGACCAGAGGACATTTCTCCAAAAAGTACGATCTTTGTCCCCATGTGCAGTTGCAAACCGTAGTCTGGCTTTTTTATGGCGGTTTTGGAGCAGTGGCTTCTTCCTTGCTGTGCGGCCTTTCAGGTTATGTCGATATAGGACTCGTTTTACTGTGGATATAGATACTTTTGTACCTGTTTCCTCCAGCATCTTCACAAGGTCCTTTGCTGTTGTTCTGGGATAGATTTGCACTTTTCGCACCAAAGTACGTTCATCTCTATGAGACAGAACGCGTCCTGAGTGGTATGACGGCTGCGTGGTCCCATGGTGTTTATACTTGCGTACTATTGTTTGTACAGATGAACGTGGTACCTTCAGGCATTTGGAAATTGCTCCCAAGGATGAACCAGACTTGTGGAGGTCTATAATTTGTTTTTTTGAGGTCTTGGCTGATATCTTTTGATTTTCCCATGATGTCAAGCAAAGAGGCACTGAGTTTGAAGGTAGGCCTTGAAATACATTCACAGGTACACCTCCAATTGACTCAAATGATGTCAATTAGCCTATCAGAAGCTTCTAAAGCCATGACATAATGTTCTGGAATTTTCCAAGCTGTTTAAAGGCACAGTCAACTTAGTGTTTGTAAACTTCTGACCCACTGGAATTGTGATACAGTGAATTATAAATGAAATAATTTGTCTGTAAGCAATTGTTGGAAAAGTTACTTGTGTCATGCACAAAGTAGATGTCCTAACCGACTTGCCAAAACTATAGTTTGTTAACAAGAAATCTGTGGAGTGGTTGAAAAACAAGTTTTAATGACTCCAACCTAAGTGTATGTAAACTTCCGACTTCAACTGTATGTGGTATTGGGTCGGCTGCATTACTGCTAGCCCCTTTCACAAGTTAACCTAAACACAGGAGTGTGATCTCACTGCTTACCTTGTAGTACTGTGCCGGGTTGGGTGGTCCTTGCTGGTACTGTCCCATGGGGGGCATGCGTTGGTTGGGGTGGTAGGATGGGGACTGGGGCTGGCGCTGCTGGGGGCCGGGGGGGGTACTGGAGGGGCTGGCCACCATGGTACGGAGACATGCCCCCTGAACCATACTGTTGCTGCCCTGGGAAACCCTGGGGGAGGGACGGAGGGAGAGGAGAGGAGGGTGGGTGAGTGTGCAAGCTCATGTGTGTGTGTGTGTTAGTGTCTTGCATGTGTTTGCACCTATGTGTATTCTAAGTGTACCTCAGATTGGTAGGGGCGTTTGAGCCCCTGTTGTTGACCTGCTGGGTAGCCTGGGTGCTGCTGGGACATCCTCTGGCCCTGACCCTGGGAGGGGTACCCCATGGAGGGGTGCTGCCCAGGCCGGGACTGGACCATCCCACTGGGGCTCATCCCCGGGGGGCCGCGGGGCCCACCCTGCTGGGGGCCCGGGTGGGACAGGAACTGGGTACTGTAGGAGGAGGGGCCTCCGCCCATCTGGAGAGAGAGGAGAGAGAGAAAAACAGACAGAAATTAAGATATAGGACTTACAGTGTGGTTTCTCCTCAGAGACAAATTCTGTAGACGTGTAAACAGTCTGCTAGAAAATACTTCTGTTCTCCCTCTAATCAAAGCCATGTCTCTGGAGTCTGGAGCGTGTGTGTGGGTGTGGCAGAGCTAGTTCCTGCTCTGTCCTGCAGGGTGTGTAATGAGCTCTAACAATGAACTAAACAGAAGCACAATGTCACCCCCCTCTACAAATTGTTTAAGAAATAGGCCACTGTTTAGAGGAAAGCTGTCCTAGTAAGCAGTTTCCTGTACACACACAAACACGGTAAGGCAGAGCCTCTTACCTGGCCGTAGTTCATTTCCTGGTTCTGCTTCTCCTGGATGGCCGCGACTGTTGCCGTGGCAGTGGCGGTTGCCGTGGCAGCAGCCGCAGCAACAGCGGCGGCAGCAGCCTGGGTGAAGTCAGAGGGGGGGCGTTGGCCCATTCCCCCTCCACCATTATTAGAGTAACTAAGAGACACACACACACACACAGAGAGAGAGAGAGAGATAATTATTTGCAACTCACTCCATAGAGGTCAAGCACAATGAGTGTTGATTGTGTGTGTGAGAGAGTGCGTGCGGCTCGGTCAGAGATGTGGGTGGGACTCCCGCTGTTGTTCTGACTCCATGAAGCACCCCCCCCCCCCCCAGACACCAATGACGCAGCCTGCTGCTTTGACAGAAACACACATACACACGCTGTGACGTAGGGAAGCTCTCAATTATATACTCTCTCCTCGTCTCCTTCTCAAAACCCATTGGAGGACAAGGCCAGAGGGGAGGGACCTCAGTCTTTCTCATCCAATGGGTTTTGAGAAGGAGAGGACGTGGTTATTCCCATACCACTATGACTAGCACGCATACCAGAAATAAACCTTCCGCCACCAGTGGAGTCTACATGGGACAATCTCAATGGCATTTCCTTGGTCAGGAAAGGTCAGAGGGTAGGGTCCTCTGCTCTGACCTTCTCAACCAATGGGTTTTGAGAGGAAGGGGAGGAGAACGTGAGAAATCAATCAAATGCAATTGAAATTCTCCCCATTTGACTGACTGGAGCCCTGGGTTGTGTTCATTCGGGTAATGAAAATGAAAAACTTTAAACATTTTGCATATGAAAAGAAAAGTTCAGGGTTGTATTCACTGTATAATTTTATTTTCAACGAAAAACGAAAACAAGCGTATTTCAATGGTCTTATTGGACATAGGTAGTCCTTCCCTGTTTCAGTTCATTTTCTTCCGTTCTGTGGCTAGTGAATACGACCCCGGTGAACATATACAATAAGAACAAGTCAAAAGGTATTTACCTCTGTCCGTATGGTGGTGCTTGGTTATAGGCGGTGTTGGGGCGTCCGTAGAGACCCGGTTGTCCGTAGCCCTTATCCCCATAGCTCTGGTATTGGTGATTCACACCGGGACTCATCCCCCCACCGCCACCGCTGCCCTGCATCATGTGACCTCCAGAGTTCCCGCCCGGACCCATGGGCGCGCCAAACACCTAGACGGGGAAACACAGGAAGTGGATAGGTAGTGGAAACAGGAAACCGGCAGAGAAGATGAAAAAAGCCATTGACATTCCAGACAGTCTGCAAAGCACTTATACTGTACAAATGAACAAATAATCAAATGCTATGTTATCTACATTGTAGCAGGATTGGAATATCACTGATGCGGTTACTGACATGTTAAAACACTTCATCCAGGCCTTGTCAGATTTGGTGAACAACTGCTATGTAGGCGGCCTGGAATGCGGCCAAAGATATTTGCTCTCCTTCAAACAAGGTTAAATACATGGACGTAGGAGTGGGGGATAGAAGAGGGATGGCTGATGGATGGAAAAGATGATAGCAGGATGGATGAGCGAAGGTGGGGGGAGAGAGGAGGGACATAATTGGCCTGGTCCATTACCTGGCTGTGCGAGGGATTGGTCACGCCCCAGACGGTGGTTACCACAGAGAGGGCGCCTGGCTGCTGATTGGTGCCTTGTTGCCAGGAGGCAGAGTCATACAGGAAGTTACCGTCACTAAGGGAGACGGAGACAGGAAGCAAGGATATTATTGTATGGAGTCATGTACGGGCATGGGGTGTGGCTTACTCTCCATCTGCACTGATCGTGAAAGACCTGGGTCTGTAATGTGCATCAAGACCTGGGTCTGTAATGTGCATCAAGACCTGGGTCTGTAATGTGCATCAAGACCTGGGTCTGTAATGTGCATCAAGACCTGGGTCTGTAATGTGCATCAAGACCTGGGTCTGTAATGTGCATCAAGACCTGGGTCTGTAATGTGCATCAAACATCTCAGAGTAGGGGTGCTGATTTAGGATCAGTTTTGCGTTTCAGATCAAAATGAACAACAGTACATGGAAAGGGGATCTGATCCTAGATCAGCACTCCTGCTCTCAGACGCTTGCTACATATTGACCCTGGACAGGTGAAAGCAATACCTGGTAGGTAGCTGTACACCACGATAATGCTCTCTCACCTATCCTATTTTGTCAGATCAGTGCAGATGAAGGAGAGGAGAGGAAGCAGTTATAGTTAGTTTGTTGAGGAGAAAGACAAGTGGGAGTCTTTGTAGGCGTTGAATGACTCGTACCACAGCACATCACATCCTGAAGAGGCACTCAACAACGTTTCCATAACAACAAAGCAGTTACTTAGAAACCAGCAAGAGCAGGCCTTCCGACGGAGAGGAGGCTCCTGAGTGTGTGTGTCAGCGTTGGGCTCAATTCATAATTTTGGAATAGACTCCCATTCAACTCATGAATTTAAATTCAAATTGGCCACACCCCACAGGATGTAGAATTTGAATTTGCATTTGAGCGACAGGAAGTAGAATTTAATTCAGTGCAATTCAAAGAAATTCCACTCAAGTCATAGAACATAAGTTTCATTGAATCTGACAGGTCACACTTCCAGATACCAAAGAATATCACTTTTCTCTGGAAACAATGTTCATATACTCTTTCAACCTTAGTGCTTAGAATAGCCAATTATATTTCCACCAACCTTTTCATTTGTTTGGCTTCTTTTTGAAGGCTTCAGGGTCAACTTTAAGGTTAAGCTAATGCATTCTGGGAAATGTATTTACCCCATATTTAACCAAATTTAAGTGATTAATGAAATATAATAACTTAGAATATTCGCATAAAGATTTAGTTTTTCTTTATCATTCATTTTAAGAGTTTGTCCTGCAAATCAATTGTTTCCCCCAAAAATGTATATAACAATATGTTTTATGTACAATATGTATATTTGTATAGACTACAGCTAATATAGAATAAAAGGGGCATTTGAATGTCATTGAATTTCACTGAATTCAATTCTATTTCCTTTCATTCAAATTGCAATTATGTATCCTGTTTACTAATTCAGATTCAAGAATTAATTGGAATTCATGAGGCATTCTCAATTTAATTCTGAATTGAGCCCATCCCTGGTGTGTGTGTGCGGCTAAGGTTACCCTTCACTTCCTCTCCTGAAACCACAGGAAGTGAACTCTTAAACAGGAAACCAGCGTTCCAGCGCCCGGGCCAGCAGCAGCCAATTGGCAGTCAGATCCCAGAGCTCAGCCAATAGCGGGATAGGTGAGAGGTCAAAGCCAACCAGAAGCCAACTGACGGTTTATCTGAGGACAATGAGCTCAGCACTCCCTCTATGAGTCACTCTGTGTGTGTGTGTGTGTGTGTGTGTGTGTGTGTACCTGTGCGGAGTGGGAGGCAGACCGGGTTTCATGGAGTTGAGGGGGTTCATCGGAGGAACGGGGGGGGTCAACAAGATCCTGACAGGCAGCCTGAGAGAGAGAGAGAGGTATTGAAATGGTATGTTGTTTGTGTTTCATTAGTATTCTTTTGACTGTATAGGCCTAATTATTTTGTGATTATTCATTATTCCATGTATTATCGTTTCCTTGTCATCACCGATATCATGTCAATAAAGTTAATTCAATTGAGAGAGAGAAATTAGTCTCATAGCATTGAACTGAAGCAGTGATTTCACCACCATCATAGCCCACACACAAATACACATATACACAAGTTACCCTCCCTTTTGGCCTCTGCTCTGTCTCAGAGCGGTAGCCTATCACTGCCTGGCGTAACGCTTCTCATAGAGGGAGGGGGAGGGGCAGCAGCAGGGTCTTCATTTAGCTACAGGAATTTAAGAGAACAGCCATGAGGCTGCCTACACACACACAGCTCATTAACTACTGAGAGAGAGAGAGAGAGAGAGAGAGAGAGAGAGAGAGAGAGAGAGAGAGAGAGAGAGAGAGAGAGAGAGAGAGAGAGAGAGAGAGAGAGCGAGGGCTTCTCTTGCAGTGCCATTTCTCCGTTTTAGGATCACATGCTTTCAATACAACTTTCCCTCCATCACTGTCTCCCTCCCCCTCCCTCCATCCCCGTCTCTCTTCATCACCCTACCTTTCTCCCTCTCGCTCTCCCTCTCCACACCCTTCTTTCCCTCTCTCTCCATCCCCCTCTTTCTCTGTAAATTACTCTTCATCCCAGGGTAAGCTCTGCTAACTGACAGGCTAATTTGTTGCCAACATCAGAGCCATCTCTTTCTTCTCAGTCTCCTTTTTCCTCTCCTCCCAGAATTGGGTCAGATTGAATAGAGGGGTGTGTGTGTGTGAGGGGGGAGGGGATATATAGTGTGACAGTTACCAGACAGAAACCTTCTATATGGATATTAGTTCCCTTCAACCTTGTGTGTTTGCAGGCGTTCTCCTTCTCTCTCTCTCCTCCACCCCCCCCCATCTCTCTCAGACCAAAACACCATCCGACTGTCGAACCACCACCTTTTTCCCCTCCTACATAGCTAACATGTGTGTTGCATCACTGCTGTCTTTGGGGGGGTTTCATGGAGTCAGAACAACAGTTAAGTGTGTGAGAGAGGGAGTCCTGGTCTGACACACACAGGTCTGCATATCTATCATATCCTGTCTATCTGTCACTCACTGTGAGTACAGTCATTAGGAGCAGTCAAACAGTCACTCCATTAATTCACTCGTTGGGAGTATTTAGATGAGGCATCTTATTAATGTCATTACGCACTCAAAGAGAGACTGCCAGATACTGCTCATATAAAGCTGAATCTAAATACAAATGACTTAAGCTGCATTTACACAGCCATCCTAAGAACCAAATTCTGATTATTATAACTTTTCTGACTGTCTACACTCAGTTTTATATGTGACCCATATCAAATTTGTGCATTCCTAAGATTTGTGCATAACCTCTGAAATAGCACACAGATGCAATTATAATTTCATGTTACTGTTCCTTTACATTGTGGGGTGGTTGTCACGGTAACAACAGGTCATGTACAAAGAAAAACAAAAAAACACTTCAGAGCAAAAAAATCGGATTACAGTGTCCAGACTGAGGTCACATATGAACCATCGGAATTGTATCAGGATTGAGAACCACACGAATGTGGTATAAATCG